TAAAGACCGGGTCCCGTCGATAAAAACAAAAAACGCTGTCATATTTTGACCATAAACGTTATGATTGACCGTGAAATCTATTCGTTCGTGTCCAAAATCAAGTTCAAAGCCCCTATTTCGGGATATTCTACTGACGTCATGTCTCGTAGACCACCGCTAATCACGTTAGTTCGTCTGCGAATTGTGGCTTCGTCAGAGTTCCATTTCACAGCAGGCATGATTTATATTGTCCGTATGCGCCTTAGAATGTAATCCTATTTTTACCATTTGACTTTTAAAGACCTATTGTCGATGTCCACTTTGATACTGTTTTTTGTATGGCCAAGGTTGCATCACAAGCGAAAGTATACTTTAGTAAAGCGATTTTTCTTTGGTCCATACTTAGATGAATGCAAACCTAACCTTTCGGGTCGTAGTTGGTGACATATGCCTGTCCAAATTACCGGATAAATTGTAAATTGCTCACAGACGTCGCAAAGCGACGGGTCGTAAAATTTGGATTGCAACTAAGCGGGTGGTTTGTGTTTTATTGTTTATTCTAATTTCATATCGCTGTTAAACTGTATTGAAATCATTGTATCAATCTACGTGATTATCTTGTTTACGAAGTCGTCCTTGGCAACAGCGGTCATATTGCATTTTTCCACTACGATAGGGCTACGACTTTTACGATTGTTACTTGTTAACCTATTTCGATTATAAATTTCCATTTACAACAATGTCAAATTGTCCGATTTTGGCACTAATGCTTCACGGTTGTATATTCCCCGCTCCTTGGCTGCATTTGATTGTTCGGTACTTCCGTAGTGTGTGTACCAGGTGTGGGTTAGGCCATCATTTTATTCTGATTTCCATATTTTAATTATATTACGAGTTTGGGGACTGTCAGTGTTAGCCAAGCGACCATAGATTTCAGTCCCTTTACACAACTTGATGTGAAGTAGACGGAACGAACAAAATTAATTGGTACATTGGTACATAAATCATATTGGTACACACACTTTTGAAACGCCGAATGTTTACCAAGTCTCAATCTGGTGCGAACAAATTTAAATATTTCAAATGCGAGTATCTGTAAAAATTTTTCTATATTATAAATATTATGTATGTAGTGTTGGATAGCTAATCTGGCCTGTTATAAAAATGACTGTCCACTCAAAAGTCTAAAATTGATTGCTTAAAATTGTTACACCAGCGCCTGCTGATCTGAATGATTTTTCTGGGCATCAGGTGTGCGATTAACCGCTTATAGGGCACATACTAACAGGTTATGTGGAGGTTATGAGTAAATACTATAATACAGCTGATTATGGTGAGGCCATTATCCGATTATATTGCAATACGAGATTATCTACGTTTAAGGTGATACGGTTACCTGGGATTGTTACATTATAAAGCGAAATGGTAAATCTTTACTTTCTCTATTAACAAAGAACCATGTTTGATTTTTAGGGGTATGCCTATCATAAAATGGTATCATAAATAAACACAATCAAACATGGGACGTATATGTATGTGGTTGACAAATGATGGCATTCCGATTTTGCCCCACTGTGAAGCTATTGCAATGAAATGAGGTTAATCCACTCAACCAAAGTCTGATACATTGAGCTGTTTATGTCGGGAGATGTAGCCTTTTTGGACCAACAATTCCTTGTGTATTATGAGTTACCCTCTACGTTGCTTTGTTCCTGTGATGAGGATGGAGGGTGGTTTTGGGTGGAGACGAGGATTGTTTTATAGACGAACTATACCTGAAAAAAATTAACATACAGTAGATGGAAAAGCTTAGTGTATAACTGGTCCCAGATCACTTTCCTACATCATTACCTTCTGAAAAAGTTCAATATAGTTAGGTGTATAGGGGTGGTTATATGATCCAAATATCCATTCAAGTGGCGTCCTCTTTACAGGTATATTGTGACGGCATTTGCCACAGCAGGTGAACTTGGTTTAAGAATACAGATGACTATATGGTACCACCTTCATAGGGGGCAAACCAGAAAAGTGGATGAACATTTTGTAATTTCGACTTATTCATAGCCATAGCCGTCATTACCATATTTTAAATATATATTTTATCAGGGTGTTAATGTTTGACATGTCTAACGTGTGACAGCATTGACAAATATGTACCCCGGATGATTGCCATCCAACCAAAAATATGTCACCTGCCAGAAAAAATCGATAAAACGCTACATTTCAGTGAATTTAATACCCAGAACCTTTACACACACTTGAATGAAATTTCCGAAATTGAAAGTAATGTCGATCGCTATCGTCAAGCAGATAGGGATAAAAAGAAACGTTGAAAAGGTGGAATTAATGTTTTGGTGAAAGCATAAACATTGATTTTAATGTAAAGTAATAAAACGTTAAATGTAATTCGGATAATGCATTTTTTAGAGGCCTATATAAATTTTAATGTCTAGTCACAGAATCGGCATTTTTGAAAAGAATATCGCCTTTGTTGACGTAATTAATGCTTTTCCGCCAAATATAGACCATAATCGACTGAGCATAAATAAAATAAAATAAATTATTTCTGTTTTTGAGAAAATTCCATAATTTTTTTTTGTGTCATGAAAAGAGTGCATCATCCATCAACGGAAATCGTAAGATATACAATTTCTCATACTCTCGATTAGAAAGGTGTAATATTTCGTATTTACGACATGTTTGGTATATGTTTTAATGCAACAATACCCGTTACACTCTCTCCATGTTATTAAGTTAATGCGCTTTTAAGTTGTCCGATAGCAAATTTCAGATCACCTTACCGAACTAAAGATCGATATATCTATCCGTTTAGTACTCACCGGTTTTAGCCTTTTCAGCTGAGAAGATTCAAACGGTAATTTGAAGCTTTACTTCTTATTAAATTTCAAAATTATTTGCGCTTTTGGTGCATCGGGATCTCTGTTTCCAATTGATGGCGATGGTTGTATTTATGGAATATGTTTAAAAATAATGAGTATTTGATGTAAAGCTCATTCACAGAAGGTATATAGTTTCATAAAAAGTTTTTGAAACTTCGGTCGGGAATAAATCTTCTCTTTGAGTATTTTTCTTAGAAAATGTGTAGAAATTTCTGGTCCGAAGTTATAGCTTTGCAGTTTTCAATGTATTTACAATGCAATGTGTTATGGGAGAAATTGGATCAAATTGTATTCATTCATCCTAATGAATAGGATGTGATACAGAATGAGACACGTTCTAATTGAAGCCATTTGTTATACATTGGTTTGCTGTACTTTGTTGTTACTCCCAAGATCACCAAATGGCATGTTGCTTCACGTTTTGTTATGGAGCCCTTGATGTGCATTGGGAATTCACTCATTGTACTCAAAGCTTTTCGTCGATTAGATAAATTGACGACGTCCATGTTAACTTGTAACACAGAACAATTTGAATAGTTGGAGAATTATTTCCTTCTTCGTTTGTATTTACAGTGGGCTTAATCTGTGTCCGTACACGATAGAGCGTTTTTAGTAAAAACTGAAGCATTTTTCGGATCTGGCCATCAAACGTGACTGAACGCTGCGACATCTCATGAATTTTTAAAAAATCTCGCCGCGGTCCAGCGGTACATTAATGACAGGCAAATGGGGGATGAAATGTCGTTGCTTAACAGGCGGGAATCTCGTCTGCAAGGCGTGCATCGCGCGTATCTAATTTCATTCCTCTTAATTCTACGCGGGAAATCAGGTTATTCGTGATTTAAGTTGTGAAATAAAATCACTAAAACCATGTCACGGGTGGCGCGTTAGCAAATGTATTACATTAGATTTAAAATGACATTTATTTTGAAACAGCTTTTACCGATAAACATCACGATTGAATAGCATTACATTTATTCTCACGTAACGCATTGACAAATTGTGTTTTTGAAAAATCACTTAAATTATTGTCTGTCCTGTTTCAAAATGTTGGTTGAAAAATGCAGATGACAAAATACCTAATATATGTGTCTAATTTTAAGACGACATTCAAATACCAAGCATGGGATAGTAATATATTGATACTCCAAGCTTTATGTAGATTGAATATAATCAACATTGAATTAGTCTGTATATATGTCCATATCCTGCTTAATATTTCCAAAACACAACAGTCGAAAACTTTTGAATCAATTCGTGAAACCCAGTCAAACATCACCAATAAGCGTAAAAGGTGACAATGATTTGCACGCGATGATTCCAAAACAATTTAAAATTAAATTAGACATAAATTATAGCCTCACGCAGTAGCACTTCAGTTTAATTTCACTACTTTCATTGAAGAAAGTCAACACCTTGCCTATTAGAATATTTGTTTAAGTTGACAGTGCTAAGATAATTGCTTGGAAGTGAAAATTACTTTAATAATGTTCATCGATGATATCATTTTTGTTTATCGCCAAATATCGCCAGTCAAATATGGTCCATTCCACTCATTAGCCGAGGCTATTATTTCGATTTATCAACAGCCAGTATCTGATATGTTTATTTTAAATTAGTCAAGTGAGAAAGGCTGGTAATGCGGTTTTTAGGTTGAAATCGTAATTTACAATTTTCCACTAATTGCTCAAAAAGTAATTTATAATAATGACATGACCTAACTGATTTTTCCGCCCAATGTTATCTAATGTTTTCAGTTTTATTTCATTTTTTAGAGTGTTTTGTGCTACATTTGATATCGCAGTGCATTTAACAACTCTTTTACCAGAAGGGTGAATTACTATTTGCGTCACTGAAAAATAAAAAGACCATAATGAGACCTGGCTTTAATGCATCAAGATCGACCGGCGAATGTGACGGCATACCTTATTAATCGGATCGTTATTTCAAAAGTGATCGATACATTTGTGGTAATATGTCAGAATTAGAGTTGTTGTTACCGGTCTTAAAAATCACATACTAACAAGCACGAAATCGTTCGAATTTTCGCTTTTCCTAATTTCCTCATTCAAATAGCAATAATGTAATGGTGAAAATCAAAGTTTACCCTTTCTATTTCAGCTTCATGCAACACCGTTTCCATTGTCTCCGGATTCGAAAAGAAAACTTTAGAAAATGGCGCCAATTTTACGCTTCGTTGCAAAGCTACAGGGCTGTACCACGTGACAATAACATGGCTTCTGGACGGTGTACCATTGGAGTACCAGAGAACAAAAGCGGCCGAAAGTGTCCGAATGCAAGCAGACAACCCCCATCTGGGGGCAAAAGGAAATGACGATCGAGGAGCTGGGTTACAAGCACCTCGATATATGATTAAAAATTCAAACGAACTTGCTGATGACGTCAACGAGTCGAATGACGTCACTGGCAAAGATATTATAAAAACTGATATTGAATATTCAGCGGAAGAGCATAATGACTCAAGGCAACCCACCACTGTAATAAATGAAAGAACAAACACACCAATAGAGAGTCCATCACAACCTCAGGGATTTATGACCGGAGTTGCGCCTGTTGTTCTTTCGAATCTTGATGGTTCAGAGTAAGTAATAATTTTTCTTCGAATATATTTAATACGCTGCTGCATGTATATTGATTAAAGCGTCGGACTTAGAAAGTTCCTCCCATGCTCCCCACCTCATAAAATACCCACCTTTAATATTTTTACAGAAACGGTGCAGTTACCATAGCGAGTGAATTAACAATGAATGGCGCATCTGTACAAGATGGAGGTGTATATTCTTGCGTTGCGCGTGACGTCACAAGAGAATCCATTAGTTGGAGTAGAAAAATTGCAGTAAAAGGTTCAATGTTCTTCTCGATATTTCAAAACAATGAATTCTGTTAAATTGTTCTCTTATTAATCGTCGAGTTCTCTCTTCTACAGGTCCACTCTCCGTTCGACAAAACCGACCAATTTTTGCACTCATAAATTCAGTTGTTACAATACCATGCACAGTACTTGGGTCGGGAGAAGATTTTCCAGTAAAGTGGTCATATCAAAAGTTTTCAAACGGAAATGCTAATGCCGGTAAGTTGAATAACAACATTTCAAAGATGTTTCAATCAATGTAACTCTACAACTACTATTCTAATCGAGCGCATTTTCGACGTACACATTTTCAGAATCCAATCAAATTTCTCTGCCTAACGACCACCGACAAACAGTTCATCCGAACGGAAATTTAGAAATTCGTGAAGCAAGAAAAGCCAACGAAGGCATTTATACATGCCAAGTCGACCTGAATGGAATATTATCTAACATGTCGACACCATTAAAGGTTATGGGTAGGTGTATTTATCATTTATGTACTTTTCATTTAAAATTAGAGACATTTGTAATCTTTGCATACAGCACTGCATTTGGCTGGCAGTGTAAATATAGTGTAGCTGGACTAAAACTCAAACCAGATGTGTACATGTCAGCCCAAGAGTTCTTCATGGACTAGCACTAGGCCAGGGGTGGCAAGGTTTTTGTATCAAGGGCAAAAAATTTTGCCCACCTGAACTGGCGGGTCATGTAAGTGTAACGTAAAAAGTTACATTTTATGAACAGACAATTAGTTGCAGCGTTACCAAATCAAAAGTGAAAATCACACCAGCGGGTCTTAGTTTGACCATGTTAGCACTAGGCCATTCAAATGGCTATTTTGACATTAAATCCATCTCTATTTCTAACGTAATAGTCTATTTCGTATTTCTTTTGTGTAGGTAGGCTATGGCAAGTCAGAATAGTAGACTAACAATTCTAGGTTCCAATCATTCTCAGTTTAATTGTACATCACTGGTCCATGCTCGATAAGACATGCAAACCAACTATTATCCAAGTGGTCATGTGATTACTTTCTTCAATCGTCTCTCTGGATTAAAGTTTGTGGTTTGATGAAAATTTTTCACTTGAATTATTCATTGATTTTATCGTAGTTACAATGAAATAAAATATCGCGTATTGCATTACGTAATATTGAAATTTAATTAAAATCCATAATAAAATTTTACTTGTACAAAATTTAAATTTAATTAAAAAAATAATGAGTTTCTATCTGTCGTTCTATTCAGAAAAAATAGACATTTCCGAACCCATGCAATTCGTACCTAACTGCTTGTCCGAAGCCAGGTTTGGTGCGAAGATCAAATTTAATAAAATATTCTAGACGAAAAAGTACTTGAAACATGGAAAAACATGAAATTTCTAAATCTGCATATTCAATTTTCATTTTCTGCATATTCTGCAATTTCAGATGAAAAGTAATTTTAAAAGGACTACTATACTCTTATACAAGGTACCCATCAGTCTACTTAAGGACATTTTATATATTTCAGTGCCACCCAAGATCAAATCATTTGTTCTTCCTCAAGTACAAGTTGGAAAACCACTTGCTGAATTTTGTGTCGTTTCTGAAGGAGATTTTCCACTCGATATTGCTTGGTTTAAAAACGGAATTCTACTTCGACCTACTGAATACATTGACATGCATCGATCTGGTAAAAGGTGAGATATAAGATATACCATTGGTTTGTTTATTCACTATTGATAAGTATGTAAAATAATATTTTTTGTTTTATTATGACTTCCTGTACTGCACCCTTTACTGAGTAATATAGAGGGTTCTGATGGGCTACTGTTTTCTCAACAATTCTAAGTTGACGTTATGATATTTATCCTAAATTGTAAAAACACCCAATAAAATGGGAAACTCAAAATTTCAGAAAACGAGTCTATATTTCTGACTGAAATATGGTATTCCTACCATAAAATTTTGACATTTCTGAAATTTTACGAAAAAAGACAATTACTCGTCAACTAACATCCCCGTCATGTTTACTATTTGCGTAAAATCGCGTTCGCACGACAGCGTAATTTCTTTTATAACGTCATACAAGAAATATGATTACTTTCAAAACCAACATGAATATTAAAAATGTAAACGACGCTCAAAAAACTTCTGATTAAAAGATATTATGCATATTTAAGCAGAGTCCCCAGACATTGAAATTCGTCTCCGGGGATCGTTATTTTCTCTTCGTATGCTAACATGTCGAGTTGCAAAGATAAAGTTGACAGTGATCACCTTTTTCGTATGCCAAACCTGCATAGCGATTATCTTGAAGATAATTCAGTTGAATTTTCGAGTTATTAACACTATATCCATACTTTTAAAAACTAGTATTTATTCACCAATATTTTACGGTTATTTTTTTAAAAAGAGTTTTACATATTGACAAAATGAGTAGAAAAAAATGATCATTATTTGATTTTGCGTGAATTTTCTAATCCCTATACCTGATCAGGTATGGTTCTGTGTTATAACAAGTAATAACCTAGAAAACTGAGTAATTTTATCAACGTTATTATTTACAATTCGCTAATACATTATTAAGCATGTATATCGATATTTGTAATATTCTTCTTCTTCTCTCTAGCCAAACTAGTCATTCTTGAATTGATCGCTTGCTGATCGAAATGGCAGATTAATGAATATGACAAAGTCCTTTGGGATCGTTTTATTTTAAAACAAAACTAGGAAGTTTTAAAATGAGAAATTCGAAATGTTTTTTTCTCAATTTTCTGACAAAAACATTTCTTTCGACTGCTATATAAATGTCAAAAGAAATTTAATTTAAGCAAAATTGAAAATTAGGATTATTCGAAAAAAAAATTTTTTTGGCAATACGAGAAATTGAATTACGGTTTTCTATAAATCCCGATATTTAGCATAATTTGATTTCACGACGTAGATCATGATTATGGTGAAAGAAAAACATTTTAGTTTGTTCAAAATGAAAATTATTCTTTCAGGACAAGGTTAAGTAACTAATTCTGTGTGAAAGGCCTGAAATCTATGGGGGTATATTCACTTGGATAATACAGACCGTCCCCGAACTTGTAAGAGAACTGAAATAAGGAAAATCGGAATGAAATTAAGGCCTAACCGTAACCTGGTACACATACGACGCGAGTACCCCAAAAAGTGTACGAATTGTAACAAATTCGCTGTGCTATTTGTGAGCGAGGGAGTGAATAATTATTATGCAAAGACGACCATAGGGAGGCGTCAACTATGAATTAGAAATCGACAAATCGTGTTTTCAAATTTTTTTTAATTATAAAAGAAATCCACGGAAATTCCAAAATTCGTTACCATGGAAACATTTGTAATAGACACCAAGTCTATAAATCGAGCATACGTAATGCTTCTATTTCTCATCACTAGGTCAGATCAATAGATTTTGGGATTTTAATTATAAGTCTCAAAAAGACAATCTCGAATATTTGCGGATCGACCCAGTAATTAAGAGAGGCAAAACACGACAACAGAACGCTGCCTCTTAACCGATGAACTTTAATTATCCACTAAATAAGAGCCCGAAGCATGTCGGTCGTAAATTACCAAAAAATTCGGATCAAAATTTAAATTTGCTAATGAGAAAAAAGCGCAAGCGCGAGTTTTATTATTAATACTGTAAAATCTAATAAGAAGAAAAGAGTTTTGTTGAATCATTATCACCAATGCATTTATTTGCGGGTGTTCGCGCTAAAGGTCGTGATCACTCATCGACCACATTGTTTTATCATAAGTAGTTTGGTCATTAATTGCATTTTTTTACTTTTTGTTAATTTTTATTTTACTCATTGGTCATTGGAATCCCCACCTCTTCACATGAATCATATACGATCCAAATCAGACTTTGACCAAGTGACACAATTTTGACTTCTATTCTCCATTATTAATAGTTAATAATGTAGCGAATGGTATAAGGCTTATTCATTGTAATGCATTCTCAACTAGTAAGAAACAAACAATGTAGCTTAGCTGTCTATACAGGCAAACTTCACTAGATAAATACATAGAAAATAAAAGCCTAAAATATATATGTCATACAACGCCCATTTTCGACTAGATTTTCACTATAGCAAGAAGAACGTTTTTTTTTGTCGTAAAATAAATTATCGTATGCTACACAAAACACAATCGGTATAAGGTCCCATTTTGGTACTCCCGTGGTATGTGAACCAAGATGGCGAACACCGGAACGTAGTATGTGTACCAGATTAGGATTAGGTCATGATTTTATTGTACCATCTTGGTTCACATACTACGGTAGTACCCCCATTTTTACAAGGTAATCATCACGTATGATAGGACTCGAAATTTTAGGTTTAAATATCGTATATAAATTCACTCATTGAGATGGGGAACAAACCTGGTCGCTCCAGAAAGTGTGTGTACCAATATAGAGGTAACTAATTTTGTTCGCCCATTTTACATCAAGATGTGTAAAGGGGACTGAAACCTATTGACAGGGGATATATTCACTTGGCTAACACAGACAGTCCTCGAACTCGTAATAGAACTAAAATAAGGAAAATTGGAATGAAATTATGGCTTAACCCTAACCTGGTACACACACTACGGGATTACCCAAACCTCAGACCAAGTACGCAAATAACCACGACAAGCATTTACAAATATAATGAAATAGATGATTTATAGAAAGTTCGTCGATTTGATAGCCTGATTCCCCAGGTACGTTGTGAATATGCCACGCTGTCTCGAAATGAGAATTTGATAGTTGGCGCATGGCAGGCGGTGATTTTATCGAAAATAGCATTTCCCTTGTGAGCCTACATGATCATGTTATTAAAACCAAATGGATTTTAAATTTCTTCATCGAACAGTCAATCCCCATGGTGTTTATAATTTAGATATATCGCCGTATTTCCCCGGAGACAAAAAGTTTTCAGAATGGATTATTTTTGTATTTTATTTTGTAAAATGAGTGTCATTCGTTTGGTCGTGATTTCTGAATTAAAATATAGTCAAATGTGTCTGATAGATAACGTTTTTTTAGACCGTTTTGCGATTATTGTTCAATTTAATATTATACCAGCTAAGCCAGTGTATGATACCTTATGTTAGAAACCTGGCAATTCCACAATATAGTGCGCTATAGGAACTAACACCACACTCACATAGTCACATAACATAAAAGCTTGCCAGAGCCACGTTCGGAGCGAGTATATGAATCTTTCCATATACATTATGATGACACAACTTGATCTATTACGTCATAAAATGAATAAAATTGCAAAAAATTTCAGAACTTCTATAATGTTGTTATTGAAGATATCAGTTTTAAAAAGTCACAAATGTCAGAAAGCATTAAATGTGAATTTAATTATTGAAGCATTATTTTATCTGGCAAATAATTTTTATTTTATTATTCAGTCTTCGCGACTTTCAAAAAATGAATGTATTAGTCAAGCGTGGGCCATATAAGGCACGCGTCATTTGTCGCGCGCCATCTATGACCCAAACTTACACTGTCTTAAAATTTTTTGATTGTACTCAGAGTCATCTTTTATTTATCAAGGCGGAAGAACCGATAACAAAAACTCATCACATTACTTATAATAGAATTAAAGATGCATGAATTGCTGTTTTGAATGGAAATTGGTTTTAATTTCGTATTAGAAATGCCCTTTTTATATTAGTGGCGCTAAAAGGTCTGGGTTCAAGAATGAAAGAAAAAATTTTCTGGTATACTTTTTATTAATTGTATGCTGTTATTTTACTGTCTTACTATACGTTAATAAGTCATATGCACCTATTTGAAAGTTATCAGTCACTTTGCAAAAAATGAGAATTTTTATGTCAATCCAAAGTATTATTCCAATTGGCTATACCAGTAGTTAACGACCGGCAGTCGATTGTTAATAATTCGAAGTCTTAGCGAAGTTAGGTTACAGAGAAATTCCGATGTGAAATCGCGAATAGCATAAACATAAACGTATCGTTTTATATTTTCAGGGCTCTATCTCTCACCATCAGTAGCGTCACGTTGGATTCGGCTGGTAATTATTCGTGTTGCGCAGCAAACAACGTCAGCCGTACATGCATTGTCAGTCCGTTGGTGGTTCTTGGTTAGTAATTCATATAATATGTGTTCTTTATGTACAAATTTCATATGCGACAATTTCTCTTACATAGCCTTTCTAAATCTTTTTGGCAAACAAATAAATTTGACTTTTGAACTCAAATTTTCACATTACTGATTCACTATACCCATTTATTTGCTTTTGTTAATATCATCATTACAAATCAGAGTAAACCTAGCATGATCGAGTCTGTTTAATAGATGAAATGATCGGATAATTGTGTCTCTGTCGTTTCACGAGTTCAAAGTTAGCGTGAAACTGGGCCTAACTTCCCCACTACATAATAGGATTATAGTGTTACGTCATAATCTCGATACCCACAAAATAGCAAGATGCTATTCTTGAATAAAGAAAGTGAAGATTGAAAATTAAATTGATTTATACTCGAATTATGTCTAATCACGCTTGATTATAGTAACTCAATTAGGCGTTTTTGGTGCTGCTAGGATTAGGGTCTGGTCAAGGGCACTTGATTTACAACTATATACTTCCTATTTGCAAATACGGTAATTATCGCGATTTGCTCGAATAACAGACAGGCGAGGCTTTATACATTGTAATGATAATTACCAACATAAATTTATGTTTTCACAATTTTCAGTTAAATTTCAATTCATTTTTACCATCTTTTTTATTTCTTTGCGTCTCAGATCCGCCCAAAATACGAGGTCTTTCTACTCAAGAAAGTGCAATATCAGGAAATGACGTCACAATTCCGTGTCACGCCACCGGATTTCCGAAGCCAAATGTCACCTGGATGAGAGTCCTAGACGGTAAAAGACTATTTTAGCTTCTTTTCATCAGTTGTTCATATGACGATCCGATAATAACGATACCAAACCCGATATTTCGATAAAAATAATATATCTTCATATAGGTGAAATGATTTGAAAATTTTGACATAATAATGTCAAGTCTCCCGTCAATTTTTTCAAAGTCGTATCGACAAAAACAAAGATAACAGTTATTGGGACCCCGATCTGATACCGATATATCGTTATTTATCTATTCCAGTTAGATTTACCGGTAACTTTGTGAATCTTGAACTTTTCAACTATTAGAATATGGACAACAATAATTGCATAGGTGATTGATCTTTTACCAGAATTTCAATAATTTACTTCTTTACCGTAAATCGTCGATCAATGTGTCAAATTGATTTTTCGGATTTACACTTTCGCTCAGAATAATTCTTTGTACAAGCAACCACTTGATTCAATTTACATTTGAAAAATATGTTGGTGACGTGTGTTATAACTAAAAGGTCAGGTAGACCGCGTAGGCTTCTCGCGATTTTGAAAATGTTGAGTTGCGATTGGGGCTTCTTCGTGATGTAAAATTTCAACTCGTTTAAAAAAATTATTGTTTTGAAATGTTTTTGTTCTGTTTCAGTCATACATATATTTTTATGTACATCTCTGGCAACTATTGCTCAATTATCTCCTAGATGTTTGACATGACATGTATCGCACTACATCGGGTCGATACGGGTGTGAATTTCAGAGGTTTCCGTACTTTTACCCCAGCATGGTATCATTTACAAACATCTATCGACAATGACCCGAAAAAACTTTTCCAGAAGCATTCAATAAATAGTTCTTCGGCATGAAAACACAAAAAAAATTAAAATACTTTTATAACAGTTCATTCTCAGCTTCCACAACCCTGGCTCATATGGTTTACGGGCTCAGCTTTTCCCATCCCTTGTATATCAATCGTGAACTTAGACTTCTTGGCTTTATGTGTAAAATTAAATGTTTTCAGATTCAACGAATGATTACCTCCAAATTTCTTTTATCAACGACAATAACAAACCTATAAAAGACAATCCCGTCAAAATCGGACAGACGAAAAACGGTACTCTGGTCATCAGAAATGTATCAGACTTAGAAGCTGGAAAATACTTATGTCGGGCGGTCAATCAAGTGGATGAATTAAGCCGTTTTGTGACGCTACAAGTGCATAGTAAGTGTGTAATCATTGGGCAGTTGTAACAGATTTAATTGTCATTGGGTAAATGAGTCATTAGATAATGAAATCATCTTAATACCACCTGATCATGTGTAGTCCCCATGTAAATATGCGTTTGAATTGCGACCCCATTCATGGACGATGTAAAGAAAAATCAGATAATATTTTAGTTGTACTACAATATAAATTTGACTAGGCGGCGACAAAACAAAAATCTCCAGTTAAGCAAAAAAAAAATAAAAATTAATATGCTTAGAGCCAATTTTACTTGCCTCCCACCAAATACGTATACGGCCCAAACAAAATGAGAAGTCCCAGTTTCAATATAATGATCGTTTTGATCGCATCCAAACAAGTGTTTCGATGCACGTACAATTTTAGGCGCTCCTGAAGTGTGTATACCACCAATATGGAGGTGACCAATTTTGTTCGCCTACTTTGCACCAAGTTGTGTGAATGGACTGACCCCATGGGCAGAGCGTAATAGAACTAAAATAGGGAAAATCGGAATAAAATTATAGCCTAACCTGGTACACACACTACAGGAGTACTCAATTTTTTCTTTGAATATATTTGTAAACTACTTTATACTTCCATTTATTCCATTTGGTAGTATTCAGACAAGTTGAGACACACAATCTGTAAAGAGGATGAATCTTTACCCTTATTTTTTAGATCCTGCTAGGATTGTGGATATCACGGGAACACAGGACGTCGTATATGGAAGCGATGTTACTATAGAATGTGCGTCATGGGGAGACGATATCGTACAATTGAAGTGGTTGAAATCAAACAAAGAACTCCCATCGTCAGATCGATACGTGAAAACGAGAGCTGTTGATTATAGGTGCGATTTTATATTTCGGTAAATGTTTAGTGGCGAACACATGAAGTTACATGTAATAGATTTTGGGGTACTCGTAAGTGTGTGTACCAGGTTAGGGTTAGGGTTAGGGCATAAGATTTTTTTTGGTTTCCCTTATTTTAGTTCTATTAGGACTAGGAGTCGGGGACTGTCTGTGTTACCCAAGTGAATATACCCTCTGTCCATAGATATTCGTCTCTTTACACAACTTGATGTAAAGTAGGCGAACAAAATTAGTTAGCTCCATATTGATACACATATGCGACGATTTTGGGCTCAATCTTCAACCGCGATGGAAATGGGCTTTATGCTGAAACCGACAGATCCTAGTACTTCCAAAAACATAATGTCGCTTCATTTATTAGTGACTGCGTATCTAAAGAAATATTAGGAGCGAATGTTCGAGTCACTTCATAATTGAAAAATAGTAACCGTCGTGAATGTTACATAAATATAATACGCAGATAGAACATACATTCAATATTCTTATTCAGTTTTTATTTTATCATACCGTTATTGTTTTCTTTGTAGAAAGCTGGATGCAAGACATTCTATCACACTTCATAAATTAAAAATCAAAAATTCAATTCGTGGCGATACTGGGACTTACTCGTGTAAAGTAATGAACAAATATGGAGCATCTACACGTCACCTTGACATCCTCGTAAGATGTAAGTAGTTCGTTTTCCGTCTCCTTTCTTTTCTCCATACCCGACTCTTCGACGCCACCTAATGATTTTCTTAATTTTCAGCTCCGCCTATGATTCCTAGTAAATTTGAGTTGATTGACAAAGGAACGTCTTTCTTGCGAATGGTTGTGTTGCCAGGGGAAGATGACGGAGGTAGTGAATTGCTGTCGTATGTTCTAACCGCTACTAAAGTATATGAAGAAACGTCACCGGAGCCACCAGAATTTGGTAAGTTTTGGTTATTGGACGCGAAGTGTACATAAACATATATTTTGTTAAATTATTGCTGGGATTGTTATTTGCGTAAGAAATCGTTTTTTTTCTCCGCATTCAATGGACCTTTTGATTATAATTTTCCAGTACTTAGAGATGGATTACGTTGGTAGAAGGCTATTACTTTTTTTCACATATTTTCTGAATCCAATGGACTACGGGACCCAATATTTCAACCAAATTTCTTCTGTTTTTTTTTTTTTTTAATCAAAGGGACCACTTTTTATGACATCTTGGAACGCTTTCTCTCCTCACGTTTGCCCTCCTCTGTAGCAAATTTGGTGTTCGGCTAAGAACTTACGGTTCCGGTGTATATGTGCAATCTTGGTGTCCATCCATATATTTGAGCATTGCGCTTTATATAATTTGACTGGTAACAGGAGTAACCAATTTTGGCTTTATATTTCTTCCTTATAACAAAATCTGTAAATTATTTCCTATTCCTTTCGTTCAGGGCAAGAATTCCGTCAACGACACCATAAAGAGTCGCAAATCCAACCTTGGACATTAAAATACCCCGTTTCAGCGACATCCCCGAATCAAGAGATTGTTCTTGATCAGTTGGAATGTGGCACCGAATACGAAATGTTTATAAAAAGCGAGAACCAAATCGGAGAAAGTTTTCAGCAAGTTAATTTAACCGAGAAGACCATAGGCTCAGGTAATAGAGTTAGAAAGTTATTAATATTGAGAAAAGCGCATTCTATTTTATTTTTTGTCAATTTTACGGAAATAATGAATTTACAGTATGGTTTGATGCAACACTTTAATTGTTTGAAGCACAAGCTGCCTTTGTTTAACGCGCCATTGAGCATAAAATAAAAGGGGACTAGTCAGCAGTACCAAATTTGAGGCCGTGGTCAGCCAAACGAAATTTTTGCGTGTAAGATGGAAAAATCTTAAAATTGTTAAATATCGCAACAGAAATCGAGTTCACAAAGTTTTAGAGACAATGTCTTTCTGGTGAAATTTGAAAATTTTTTATGCATGGATGGGTTAAAAGTCTCGAGTCTAATTTCACAAATTTTATTATGTAAAGTAGTGATCAAATTCACTGGTAAAACTTGAGCTTCCAAATTGTGCATAACACTTTCACAAATTTTATTCGTGTTAGTTTCGTCTGATACCAAAGTAGTACTTTTACATTAATTTGCAACAATATCCTATAGTAATATATATATATATATATATTATATAATGTAATATATAATATAGTAAAATAGTAAATAGTTGAAGATAGTTTAGCGCATTCATAAGGGTATTTTTGCAAAGTGAGCAATTTTATATACAGGACACTATGAAGCTCTGCAATCTATATAATTGAATCCCAGCCATGACTCAAAAAATCACAATTTCTAATAAAATAATTTACTACCCCACTATAGAGGTTAGGCTGTATTAAAATGATATATCATATAATTATGTAAGGTGTCGTGTCAAGTGAAACACGCTTCGGAAAATTCACAGTTTTTATTATCACGGTTAATAAGAATTTATGAGACCACCTTGAACTTGAACTTTATCACTAAAAACGATTATCCTACGACCATGCTTGATGTACACAACATTATCTGAAAAATATATATCGATCAAGCACGAACGCTGATATTGTTGACCTATATTAAACACAAATTTCAAATTTCTTCGGCGAAAAAATAGCGAAAACGAAATTTGATTTATTGTTTTTTCATTTAATTTAATAAAAAATATTTATTTTATTTTTCGTTTTACCATTAATTATTTTTATTTTCTCTTTAGTTCCTGTTATACCGGTCGTAAACGAGATCGTTGTAGATGTCAACCAAAGTGCGGTGGTGTTAGACCTGAGGGCGTGGCAAAATGGAGGTTGTCCAATCACAGGTCAGAATTTAATGAACATCATTAATATATTTTTTTTTGATAAAACGTTTTTTTAAGCGTTTCTCTCAGAACAGAGCCCAGTACAAGGTAGTCTAAAGTTAACCAGGGCTCAGCGGAAGAGTTTCGCCAGCAGTCCCGCAACTTTACATTCATATGAGAGAGTGTATTTTTATATGTATATTGTTTGAACATAATCAAGTAGTACTGTATAATTATTAAACTTGCACCAATTAGTGAACTTTCTACGCTTTGAAGATCATTTTGTTCTGCCAGTACTACGTTTGCTTTTATATATATTTTTTAGTTTACACAATATTATTTTATTATTCAAATGATGTTTGTTGCATAAGACAATTAAACTAGTGCACGGGGTTTTTTCAAGCCTGTGGAATGCTTCATTGAGTTTCCAGGAAAACGTTTGAAAACCACTTGTCTAAGCCACATGTTATTAATTTTTATTAACACGAATCTGATTTAAACTTAAACTTACTTTTTTTCCTTTGCTAAAAATATTCATTTTTGTTTATTTCTATCTCTCAGAGCTTACAATAGAATATGCCAGACATGGTGATACAGAATGGAATATCACTGTTGTTGATAGCGCCATATTGGAAAACGTTTTGTCTTCTTCTCACACTGACGACGGAGGAAAAATTTCTCCCAATCCTGGTCACGTGATCATTTCAAATCTTCAGGTAGAACAGCATAGCTTTGAAAGCGTTTAAGTGCATTCGGGATATTTGAAATATTTGTCATTCTATAAATTATAGTTCTTTGCTAAAAGTCTTTTGTGTTACAGGTTGGCACTTGGTACAAAGTATGGACTTCTGCTTGTAATAATGCTGGCTGTAATTACGTAACACATTCTGTTGCAACTTTACGATCTGATGGAGCCACTGTTCCACCTTTGAAAGTTGAAATAGACAAAAAGGTAAATTTAACTGGTGTTTGAAGTACAGAATGTACATACAGAATTCATTCATTTGCAATATAATTTATTAACTGTCAAATTCTGATAATTTTTTTTCATCTTTTTAGGAAGCTGCTACTGACGATGCCAGATTTCTTGTACCGATGGTATGTGGTTTCGGACTTGTTTTCTTACTCGCGCTAATACTATTGTTCTATCGACATAAGCAAAGATCGAAAAAACAACTGCGAATGAAAGGTTAGTTATATATTATACCACACAATTAGGTCTTATGTTTCATATACTTTACGTGACACCTTTCCAGTTGACGCCCTAACCTTTGTCCATAGATGATTCTCCTTTACTTTTGAGTCTCCTCACGAAATTTTGGTTTGGTAACAATGAATTGTATATAGAAAATAATTGCAAACATTCAAATTAAAACCAAAAAGGTTGATGCAAAACTTTTATTTGAATTTTGGACGCTTCAAAATTAAAAGACAAAATAAAAATGCTTCAAGTGGTTTGTTACCACCAGAATGGTTCGCTGTAATTTAAATTCATTATCTCTTTTCGTTTTACAGAAGCGCGAAAAATGGCGCGCACCCTTTTGTATAAGACCGATGACAAGCCATCTTATGCTCCAAGATCAAATCCATCCAATCAACAACGTTTTTCCTCCAATACTGAGAATGATGACGTCATAAGTGGAGTGGAAGTCGTGGAAGATGTACTTTTGATTAGAACTTCGACGAGTAGCGAAAGTGACAATGAATCTGGATTAAGGGTACGTGTACTAGAGTTGTTTTGCTATACTTGACGAAATTATTTCACATTTACTCATAATGAATCTCCGAGCAAGAACCCGTAAGGAATATATTTTCTGGTTGCTGAAATACCGTAATCCGTATTTGTGTACTTCGAGTGCAGTACATTTGCGCTATTTTGGGCAAATGAATACAGTAAGTATATAAATTCGCGACAGAAGCGATTGATTCGCGCAAAAGGTTTATTCGCTAATAACTCCCGATTCTATTTGATCCACCAAATAGCCAAATCGATCCAGTGTGACATGTAGCGTGTAAAATTTTTCAGATAACCTCGATTGGTATGGAAGTAAGTAGCATCACTGAACCGTATGCAGATGACAATATTCAACAACAAGAACTCACTTATCGACCTTTGAATACCTTGGCGAATCATGGCGGGGAAAGAATTGCTTTATCGTCGTCACATTCGGAAAAGAATGCCGGTCCTAAAAACAGTTCAAGTGGCGAAAGTAAGAAATCGGAAGGAAAAAAATCATTGAAAGACAATGTAGAGTTGGCTGTATTTCGTGATCCTATTTCTTCAGGTATGATACAAATTATCTTTATGGCGAACTGGAGTTTCTAAGTATTATGGCATCGCATTTTTGGCCGTAATTTTATATAGCTAAAATCAAAGTCTTAAAATTGTTAATTTTGTGAATTTTAGAACAAGTATTTTGATGCGATTCTGAGAAACTTTTTTTTTATATCACCCAATAATTAGAGTATAGGCCTATAGGGGATGTACAATACCACCTAAATTGAAGTAAACTTTGTGATTTACCAAATATCCGTTTTTGTAGAATATAAACTATAGGAAAATTGTTACATAAGTGCAGGCAACTTGTTGTATAAAAAAGTATTAAAAAAACGTATAAATAGCACTCTTTGTTGTAAATTTTGAAATTCTTTGTGGAGCAATGAACGTGCAGAGGCCAGTAGTCACTCGGACAAAAGAAAACTTTGCAATTGTAGTAATTCAATGTTTTCTTATTCTCTGGATTTATATTTCTAGGCTTGAATTCAAGCGTGGGATATTTTTGATAACAAAATGTTAAATTTCAATTTTAGACGACGAAGATCATGAATCTACTCTACCACTCGTGTGCGACGAGAGCGCTTTCGGTGACTCTGGTACTTGGTCATATTTTCAACCCGGTTCGAAGGCCAGAAGACCAAAGAAGAAATACAATCCGATTCCTACTAAAGAGACTCAACCTAAACCTATTCCAAGACGGTGTTCGTCTACTTCATCTGGAACCGACGAAGAACTCGCCCAAGTTTTCGGTCTCACATCATCAAAACGAAAATTCAAACCAGTATCAGTTGAAAACGTAGAACAACCACGGAACATACCAGAATCCGCAAATTCGGACATAAACGATAATTACAAACCTATTACAAAAGATAATTATCTTCCAAATAAACAAAATATTGGCCCCGTGATGGCACAAAATGGCCCGCAACTGAGCACCCGAAGAACAGATCACTATTATGCAGTTGGAAATAGTCAAGATCGCTCTCATTCAGCAAGTATGCTGCAGCAACGCGGTTCAAGACCACACAAAGCTCTTCCACAAGATTCGATGCACACTGACAACAGGAGACCTCACATTCCAATGCAAGTTCAAAATCGACCTGTCGTGCCGAATTTAAACCCTTTTAAAACCATGTTTAAACCTACCGGTCAGTTACCGGTTCCTATAAATTTACATCGACCGTCGCCTGGACATTATAGAGGTCATACATTCTCAAATGACCAGATGTCTCATCATTTGGGTCAAAATACAGCACCATACAAAGATAATTTAAATAATAGAATCGCACCATATGGTACAAATACCTTAAATTCGTCTCCTTATGGAGAGAGGCAGTGGGTGAACTCGTATGACTCACAATACGGTACCGCCAAAAGTAAACGCCCATCTTGGGGCTCCACTGAACTCGATAAAGAATGTTTTTACACTCCTCCGTCGAGCAACGTTTCATCGTCCAAATGCGACCCCCATATTATCCCACCACCCAAGTACCAACGACCCCTTGATATTGCCACAAACCCCTCTACCAGAAAATTGGAGTCAAACAGCCCTCGTGATTCTGGAATAGGAAGCGACGAAGCCCCAAGTTCGCGCAATACGACTTCGTCCGTGTCTCCGCCCCAGATGAAAGGACGAAACGAGCAAGAAAAATCATTGGAAAGTTTGGACGAAGTTATCTCCCAAAAAGGAAATCGTTCAAGTTCATGTAGCAGTTCGGGTGCCGGTGCTATTTATTCAATGACGCCTCCGCCGACTCCACCAGCTTCTGAAGCTAAACTGACGCCGCATATTTTTGGTAAGTTGGATAATTTTGCTCGACATTGATAAGCATTTTCACTTTATCAATAAGCATGAAATGCATATGCATTCGGGTATTCAAATATGGAGAGTCAGATGGAAAATGCGTTTTAAGTAACTCCAACTTTATAATAATAAATACAGAACAATGGTTAGCAGCGCTAGTAAGATGATAATATATTTTTGTACCGAAATTTTCATACTTTTTGTTTCTCCCTCATAACAAGGCTTCATCCAAGTAACCTTATAGGCATTTGCAGTTCTTATTTAATATATACACAAGAATGCCAATACTTATTTCATGATTTAATTTGAATTTCAAGATTCAAAATTTGACATAGCATTTTAAAAATCGAAATGGAATTTGGAATACCTCACTATTTTGATAAGGTTTGCATACTAGCAAATAATCCTATACCAGTACTATAGTGCATGAAATTTACTTCTCTATATCTATATTTCAGTTGATATTTCATCAAAATGCAACACCACACCAACACGTACATCTCGACAATCATATCCACCCAGCATACAAGTTCCTAATGCTAGTTATCGCCATCATCTAACGCCTCCCACAAAACTGGGTGAATACTTACCCACACCCCCACCTTCCGGACCCACGTCACCAACAGATAAACTCTCTATTCCACGCCCCCGAAAATCTGGAGGATGGGGTGTTGCCAATTTGGACGGACTCGGAAAATATCAAAATAAAAGCGACTCCCATCTAGCGGAAAATGAAATTACTGAGAAACGCTCACGAGCAAAAATACCTGATCGTAATTCATCCGATACTACATATCGAATGAACAATGATGATAATACCTGGCAAGCATCGACTTTAGTTTGAACTATGAACCAGGAAGTTGACCGGGAAGGTCAATATTAGTATATGTATCTATGACTTGGGTAGTTTAAAGTACATTGCTATCTACACACTGCTACCTACAATTTAACGGATTGTAATAAAAATGGTACTTGCAGGCAAGGCCTTACTTGCGTCATAAATTTTCAATCCGTAAGCGTATATTGAAAAAATAGTATGAACTAAAAATGTCAAGTCTGAAATATTATTAACAACTAACTTATTGAATTCAAGACAAAAATTTGAGAAAAACTGTTTTCACAACCTTATACGCAGGCAGGCGTTCAGGTATATATACACAGTGCTGTATAAGCAGAAAATATCAAATATATATGTGAAAAATGATGATTTTTCATTTTCGAATAAGAAGCGTTAAGGTATGCGATAGGCTGGTAATACTCTTTTAAGAAGTATGTTGCCTCTATATTTACGTTTGTACACACTTTTTGATCCGCTGACGAATATCCTTTTGAGACCTATGCCTGTACGATATATATATTCAATGTGCATGTATTTGAATAGGGCCTATGTGAAAATTTAAAAAATCGAAACGTGTTTTTGTGTTTATTTGTCATTTTTCATTGTTTTTGCAATATTTTATTTATACTTTTCATTGATATAAAACTTCTTTAAAAATCATGATTTGTCTTACATTTTCCGTTTTTGTTCTAACTTTTATCCTTCATTACTTTTCCTGTCATAATCTCCCTTTTTTCATTTTTGAGTATCTGACAATAAATTTCGTGGAAAAAGTAACAAAAATCTATACGATTGATAAAGCGCAAAAGATTGTGACTAGAATTTAAAAAGCAGTTCGGATATCGCGAGTGGTTGCTATCAGGTTTATTCATGCACAATTTGTAAAGACGCAAAGGGCACAGTTTAGCCTGAGTTTTAAATTTCGATTACTATAGCTTCCATATACTTTATATCGAATAAATTAACTTGCCGGGAATGAATTAGTTTGTTTAAATATAAGATTATATGACACTCCCGAAGTATGTGAACCAAGATGGCGGACACCGGAACGTAGTATGTGTACCAGGTTAGGGTTAGGCTCTCGAACTCCGGAATTATGGCCTAACCTGGTACACATACTACGTTCCAGTATCCGCCATCTTGGTTCACACACTTCGGGAATATCGATTGTATAGCATTACAAAGTCATGGGACAATAGAGCAATGCTCAAATATATTAGCACCAAATACAAACGACTGGTCAGTTTAGACGACAGATAGCAATAATTGGTGCAAACAGTTCTTAACATGATTCATTAATTTATTTAAATATTACCATTGAGTAGGAAATATACATCTCACAATGTTTGAAAAGCGATTACTCGCTCTATCATCTGTCTAGTTATTCTACGTCAGGTGTTCCCAAACTTTGTAACAACGTTACCCCTAAGTCGAATTACCAAAAGCTCAATTACTTCTTTCATAAAAATTAAGATTGTACGAATGCAATTATCAATCTGACCTATGAATGAAGTATAGAATTGGGCAGAATAAGTATGGAGGCGATTTGTAAAGACTGAAGCACGATAAAGGCGTTCCAAAGATTTTATTCACATGATTACAATATTTGAAGGAAATACTACAACGGTAGATCATATAATATAACACTGCACACCCAGCTTTTCCGTAGATAAACAAAATAGACATACATACGAAATTACTATGACGGTCAACATCTATTACCCCTAAAAATGTCAAATTACCCTTTTGGGGGTAATTACCCCCAGTTTGGGAACCACTGTTCTACGTCATCACAAATGCCACGACTATTGTGAGCCGAAGGCTATATTAAATTGAAACGGCCCACTCCACTACAACGCAGTCTGTACAATGTTGGTTAAAACATGATAGCAAGGATGAAAAAAAAAATAGAAAATTGATGGGAAATTTTTTTTTAGTAGAGGGTAGCTTACTGTACATTGAATAAATGAAAATGGCATTTAAGTAAGATATTATGACAAAGGCTGATTATTCAATTTCTAATTTTTATATGGTGATAATTTCCAATATATATGTAGTCTCCTGCAGATATTGAGCGGGTTCTTTAGCTATTTTGTCTGATTTTACATGAATACACAATATTCGGGAAATAAAAATGGGGTTAATATATTTTGTTGACCCAAATGCGATATGCCATCTTCATTCAATAAACTAAATTGTCCATAAAGATGTTGATCTTTGTTAATGTTTGCAGAGCAATTAAACGGTCAGTTAGAATCAAGGTATTATTTATTTGAATTTCCAAAATTCAATATAAATACATAAACTATATAAAATTAGAGTTTTGTTGGAATGAATGACAAATTGTACGTTATTCCTGCTTTTCAATCCAAATTAAAAGACATACCAAGAAATATGACATACTTGCGAAAAGCTATGAAGGCTGGTACTGCTGGTCGCTTTTTTGAAGGTATAGACGTATACAGTTACTTTCTTACCAACCACAATGTATGGTTGTTCCTAACTGAAGATGATAAGATGGAATGTTTTTATGAAGTAAAATATAGTTTACGCTATATTTTAGTTTACGCCACCTTACGACGAAAGATTCAGTGGTTGGAGCGCAGTCGAGTTTCAACACGTGAGTAAAACTATGATTTGTTATTATTTGAAGCCTTGAAGATCTTGTAAGTTTTTAAACTGTACTTGACAGGCGTTAGTGGTCTATTATGCAAAATGATGTAGGTTCATTTCTCTATTATTTATGAGCCAATGACCCCACTGATTCTCTGTAATTTTTCAATCTTACTCCTCAATCGCTTTTTTTTCCTTGAAAAAATAAATCGTGCAGAATCACGTTGTCATGTTGGAGTTAGCTACGATGCCACATTCTCGTCGACTCAAAAACTGATTATTTGACATGTCTTCGGCTTTTGATTTTTACAAATACCTTCACTATCCTCAATTCATTTCCAGAAATTACTCAATGTTATAAAATAGATTCAGAGTTGCTTATCATACTTGAATAAATTTGTTTTGAAAGTCACCACATGAAATTTTAAAGAAGCACCCAGCTCGTGGAATCGGCTCTGCCATCAAATAAAATCTCAGCCGGCCGAATTTGAATCTGAAAAATTCTGAAATTACATTCTCGGCACTTAGTTTGGGTGAAAAATTTAATTTTTTTATTTTCTGTTGGTAAAGCAAGAAATTTGACTAGGAGTTGGAAAAACATCTCCATAGCAACAAAGTGTAATATTTTCTGATTACACTACGTGATCCTGATGTTTAAACATAATTTCCATACTGTTGTTAAACAAAACTGCCTGATGAGTGCGTGACTTCAATTGTACACTGAAATTAATTAATATGTATGACGAACAAACGATTTTTTCAAAATAATTCTTTTTTTTGCTGACTATTGAACATTTGCATAATTACCACAGGACTTGTATTACAGTCATTTTACTAGAATTAGTCTTGGAAAAATCTTTTTGGATTTTTTTTATACTTTTTTATTAAGCATTTAGGGTTGTTCTTTGAATAAAATTATAGAAGTTAAACTTTGCATATGATAGATAGTCAACTTTAGCTTTAGATTTCTTTGCGAATTAATCGTTGTATACAATATGATATTAAAACTGACAGACAGTTCTGAGTATGACAGTGAATGAGCCCAAAACTCTATAAGTTTTATTAATCAGATCAATAAATTCCTAGTAAGTAGTAGTAATTAATTTCCTAGTAATCTGATGGTGAGAAATACTTACATTAATGCAAAAAAAGTTGTCGGGTAGGCACATAATATAATACCAATGCACCAAAGGTTTTATATATGAAATAATAACTTGTTTTAATCCTTAATAAAATCTGTCAAAATTGGAGATTTAAATTCAAAAGAATTTATCAAAATGCTGCATTTTCATCGTGAAAATCTTCTTGTTATTAACTATTTTTACGCTTATTGCGTCATAATGCAAATTGTAGAAATAATTTTTCACTAATACTTTGGCTAATATATAGAGTCTGCTTCTGAGGCTTTTAGTTAAAAGCTATTTGTCAAAAGTAGGGTAGACCGCTAAAATGCGAGGTTTTTGGCATTTTCAAGTACTAGCTGTAACGTTTATATTATCAAATGCTATTTGTAATATAAAAGCAACATCAGAGCCGGTAGGTCCGGCGAACACGGCGCAACCAGGAGATTTTCTCGAAGAAACTGTGCGTAACTTTCTGACTAATACAGCGGGATTAGAGGGATTTCAAGAAATAATTGATTCGTCCGAGTTCGCATACACAAGACTTGATTCTGAAAATCTTGTGCACGAAATGGTGGCATCGTTAAGTGAAAAATTTCGAAACACAGCTTCTGCAGTGGAACGTTTACGGACGGCAGCGACACAAGCGTATTCATATGGCCAATGGATTTATGATGTTACTGAGTGTTGCCAGCTTGAAATCATGAATGGCTCTTGGTCGCCGAAGTATGACCAAAGATTTGGAAGAGAGGTAACTTGGCTATATTATAGGGTGATCCCCAAAAAACGGAACTCTGGTCATTTGGAACATAAGAAAAATAGATTTTTAATTGCCTCAAAAAACGACATCGCATTCGCTGATTAATTATCACTACATTTCAATAACGCGTTCGCACAAACCCGTGTAGTCCCTTGAATCCCACCACTGCCCTTACGTCACCGCACCTCGCAGTTTGAATCCTGTAGGGGATAATTATGTGCGAGATGATTGCTGGACTCCTCGTCGCCGTAGAGTGATTCACGTAAATGCTGGTTGGTTATGGTTAAGTCATGCATATGAAACAAATACTTGGCTAACTAAGCCCACACCCGACATGGACTGGTAATCGGAGGAGAGGTCGTGGTTCGCCATATGGTTAAGCCGTCATATCGGCTTTCCTCTTTTCCGGGATAAATATGTAAATCCTGTCTTATCCTAACGAAACTTCTCACAGGTCGACCTGTTTCAAGCATGTGCTAGAATAAGTGGAGATAGATACGCAGAAGCACGTTTGTATGAAACTATGCGTCGATCACCGTCATCATTGATTGCATCTTCTATGGAAAGTCTCTACTCAACGTCAGGAATCAAATATCAGTATTACGGAAGTGAAGAAGGAATGTTTACACAATACCCTGCTGCAAGTACCGGGTTCGATTGTACATCTTACGACAACAGATTCCGTCCATGGTAAGTGTACTCCCCACCGATACCAAAATTCAAACAGGGTGACTATTGTATATTACGCATCTTATAAGATGCGCAATATACAATAGTCACCCTGTTTGAATTTTGGTACATTACTCATAGCAATAGAAAATAAATTTATGAAATTGTAACAGGTATGTCGTTGCTGCCACACCGCAACCTAAAGATGTTGTTATCGTGATCGACACATCTGGCTCAATGTTGATGGAAAATCGAATGGAAGGAGCAAAGGCAGCAGTAGCTACAGTACTTGAGACCCTCAATCCTAATGACCGAGTTGCCGTAATTGCGTTTTCCAGCAATATAATTCTCCCCCCTGGACCACCACACTGTTACCAAGAGGAAATGGCTCTTGCAACTCCAGCCAACACCAAGTATTTACGCCAATGGGTTGGAGGACTATACGCCATGGGCGGGACACATTTCATCAGCCCTCTCAACGCAGCCTTTGATTACTTTGAGACCACGTATGAAGATACTTCAGATTATTCGGAGATATCAAGAAATCAAGTCATACTTTTTATGTCGGATGGCGAACCAAATGATAATAAAACAGACATTTTCTGGACGATTTACAACAGAAATGCAAAATTTCATCACTCGATTGTGATTATGACGTATGCATTCGGTGCTCAAGCCCCCGGTGAAGTGTTAGAAAAAATGTCTCGACAAGACGGTACGGATTACGGTGTTCCGAGGGCCTCTGCCGCTCGAGAGGGATTACACGTTGCTATAACTGACACTGACAATCTGAGGTATTTTTAACGACAATCTTTCCACGCTGATAAATGTTTATATTGGAAATGAATATCATTTATTTTCAGAACAAAAATGGGTTCTTACTACAATTTCTTCAAGTCGGAATCAATCAATACGCATGTACACTGGAGCGTGCCATATTACGATGCCATCGGTGGAGCTGGTCTCGTCATAACGGCATCTGCTGCTGTAGTTTATGATGGTTTGTATAATTCTCTAAACTTTAAAACGAAACTGGAATTTTGGGCTGAAAAGCGTTAGTTTGTCAAATACAACTAGCGAGTTTCAAAAATCGCAAAACAAATTTGAAAAAATACAGAATTGAGTTCTGGAGCATGATTTTTATCTGTTATCTAACATTCGAAAACGGTTAATATGCTTTTGTTTCTCGCAATAACAAGATTTTGCAAGACGATCTCTTAGTCCACCCGATGTCCAGTTATAGAACTTCGGTAAACCATTTATCTATAAATATTTATTTATTCAAATGTTTTTATTTCAAATCTACAGACTTGTATTTTCACTATCTGATTATAGTTGTTAATAATCTGTAGCAAATATCACATATATTTAACATAACATATATTATTATACAGGAACCCTGAAAGGTGTTGTTGGTGCAGATATAAGCATGAGAGAATTATTGACAGAAATAACGTATTTTAAAGTGAACAGTGATATGGGATACTCATTCCTTGTTGATAAAAACTTTCGAGCTATTGCTCATCCGTTCTTACCGGCACCGTCATCTGTCGACGGTGATCCTGTAATAGTGAATATTACTATGTTGGAAAGGAGGTAGGATTCATAAAAATTAGATTGTGTCAGATGTTAGGTACATGCTTTTTAGAGTGTCGGTGATTATAAATGCTGATTCGTAATACCGTATTTGCTCGTTTAATAGTCCGGGCGCTTATTTTTTTAAACATACTCACTAACCGGGCCCTTATTCAAACCGGCCCTTATTCAAGCAGGGGCGCTTGTTAATTTTAAAGTAAAATTACACACAAAAATACCGGTAGATACCGATCGTTACAATAATTAATACCGTATATTGTCATTTCCAGTTCTCAAGTATGATTTAAACGAGAATAATGAAAATTTCGACTTTTTTTACGCATCGCAGGTACAAATCCGCAAAAAAAAAAAACTTTTACACCGGGCGGGTATTCAAGCACCGGCGCTTATTTATTTTTATGTCCTGTTCACATGGGCGGCTATTCAAACGGGCCCTTAATCAAGACCGGGCGTTAAAACGAGCATTTACGGTATGTGGGACAAGTACATACGAGTTCAATTACCCCATGGCAAACAAGTACCGCAAATAGTTTGTGTTATTTCATGAAAGTTATTTATTCTTCTAGCCATCACATTTCTCGAAGCGGTGATAATAGACTTTTCCCTACTCTGGAATTGTTTTCGCGAGTTGTCGCTTACAAACTGGCTTGCACGTTTCAAAGCTATCATTTTTACTCAAAAGATTCAAGAATCTACCATTTACACATACTCATAGCTGATTTTGGTTAGGCATATATATATATGATGCATATATCTTTACGGCTAAATTTTTATTACTGCAACTACGCTAAAAACGCTCTGGAAGATAAAATGACCATTGAGTAAATTGATTTATTCCCAAATTTTGGAAACACAACCAAAAACTGATAAATACCTCAACAAATCGAAAGCGAGCTGATGTTTACCACCACTTCAAAAATTGGCAATACAGTATTGAAAAAATATCTGAGCGTTTGCCAAAATTTGAACGAATGTTACGTCATGCCTGACATTGCTGATTAGTTAATGCTACAGAAATAAACAAGGAAGTCGATGCTCAGGGAGTAATTCACGTATTTGTATGTCACCCCAATTGCCAGACCAGGCTGATCATATTGTTATTTTGGCGGATAGTTATGATGCTTTTCATATTTTATCTATTTAGTCCTGCGTTGAAAGATGGTCTTTTGCCTGCGATTATGAATTTGTACAACCATGATAGTATTCATGGTATGGCGGCAACGATGGAAATTCGCACAATGTTTGTAAAAGAGGCGGTAAGCAGAATTAGTTTTCCGTAGTGTGTGTACCAGGTTGAGGTTAGGCCATAATTTTATTCCGATTTTGCTTATTTTAGTTCTATTACGAGTTCGGGACTGTCTGTATTAGACAAATGAATATACCCACTTCACATGGGTTTCAGTCTCTTTGCACAACTTAATGTAAAGTAGGCGAACAAAAGTAGTTACCGCCAAATTGGTACACATACTTCTGGAGCGCCGTTTCACTCACTGATATGCGCTCGACAACATATTGTTTATTCACTACTGAAATCTACTCCAGATTCAATATTTTATCTGTTTGCCAGGAGCATGGCTTGGTCTCAGCCGAATCAAAGCTGGCCAGATTTTCATGTCAGTTGGTTACGGATTCTCCGTTCGCAGCATGTGTGGTAGTTGATACGGTTAGAAATACACAGAGTACCTTAGAAGAACAAGAAGTTTCAGATTCACCATCTTTCCAATATCACAGGTAAAGAGGATCTATCCTATTCGAAGTCAGTATTTACCAGTACAATTACGGTGTTAAACGTTCAAATAGCATGTCATCGTAACTTCAATACTGTTAAAATGTGTCGGTCGTTAAATGTTCAAATGGCATTTCACTGTGACTTCAATACTGTTAAAAAGCGTCTGTCGTGAAACATTTAAATAGAGTTCACCGTAACGTTAATACTGTCAATATTCGATTTTACTGGAGGTATTAGTTTGGGTTACAACGCGAGACAACTCTATTAAGTCCATGACCATAATGTACGAATCACATTTTTTCGTTTTAGACTTGACCTCGATCCTCCGGAAAATGAATGTCTGCATTTGAGCCGCATTGCATATCACGGGTCTGCAGTTAAGTTGTCGCCAAAAGCATTCAAACATATGGAGAGGTAAAGTATGCTCAACTTCCTTTGCATGATCAAAATTACTTGCCAGTTACCCATGTTACGTTCCGATGTCCGCCATCTTGGTTCGCATACTTCGGGAGCACCGTAATTTTAGTATAAAACTTGCTGCACTTGCTGCAATAAAATAATCAACTAGGCGTAACCTTGGTCAGTCACAGACAGAAAAACAAAAAAGAAATCTGCTCATCAAGTAGAATCCCAGCCACCCAAATAATAGCAAATACCGGTACGACCCGGTTTACATCAGCTATTCGAAGTTAGTGTGACTATTTCCTCATAGCATAAACTATCTTAATATATTTTGTTGGGCAGATAAGCGGCCTCGTCGATCTTGAACTAGTAGGAAACTAGGCTGCTTGTAGCTACCGGTGAAGTAACCATCTTTTTCTAACATAACACATATGTCGTTTATTATAGTTACTTAGAATTTGAAGAGACTGCAAACAACGTCACATCCTTTAAAAACATGATTGAAAATGATTTCTACGACGAACAAGGATTGCAAATAGAGCAAGCTGCAGTAAATGATGTAAGGCTAACGTCAAGGTATTTGTTTCCTATTGTATTTTATTTAATCCATTTGTGAAAAAAATACCACACTATTATTAATCACATATACAGAATGGATGAGATATGGAAGAATAACAATATCTTCAATGCATCTATTCCGGCTTTGTGGCGTTATTTAGGAACTGAATCCGGTGTGTTTCGAATATGGCCAGGGGTACGCTTAGCACAGGTGAATTATTCTTATGTTATGAGTAGCTAAATTACTTTTAAATCTTAATATCTTTATCATAAAACGCATTAATTTACATCCAAACGAACTTTCTGTATATCTGGTTTGAGAGCGCCATATGATGTTGTTACCTTCGCAGCTTCAAGCTCTCACATAGGCAAACTACGTCCCGCGGGCCAAATCCGGCCCGTTTTGTACTCAAATTTGGCCACAATCAAACTACCAAATTCTGATGTTTTAGCTGAAAAAAATAGTCCACGGAATTGGTTGAGATTGCGATTAAATTTAGTTTTGACACGAGGCATATTGTTTTCCACTTTTGCTTTTGTAACGCTGTGAATATTGTTCATCGTCACACTTACATGTTCCGCCAGTCTAGGTGGGCAAAATTGTTGGCTCTGGTTCAAAAACCTTGCCCACAGCTGAATTCTAGGTCATACATGCAATCACTTTTTTCGAATATATCACCGTAACAAACTCTCTGCTAAATTCTGGCACATCCAACTGTGAAGGTTCTATAGTCTAATGTGTCCTACGTCGATCATAGAAAGAAACTCCCCTGTAAATGCAAAATGACGGTTCGTGCAATATTTCTCCACTATTATCGATATAATGTCTAATTTATTCACTTTAACTGTGCTGTTTCTCTGGCACCGTTGGCTATAATTCGTACAGATACATCTTTTGCAAGAATAAATTTATATGTGTATTTTAGGGTCGCCTGTAACTAGTATTCACTTTCAGTTCAGAGGTAGATGATACCTTTCTTTGACTAAATTAATATTTGAATTTATAATATTTTCTTTCAACTACCTCAACGCAAATTGTTCAGCCGGTTCGGAAAATAAAGACCATACTAGGAAAAGAATATTTGTATTGTTTACACTATCAGTCTTATGATACTTTGTATACATATCTATTTAATAAAATGATTTTTTTTTGTTCGTTTCAAGGAATACGATCCTACATTGAGGCCTTGGTATAAAACAGCAATGGCGCATCGCGATGATGTTGTAATAACAACTCCATACACCGACGCATCGACAGGAATGTGGATTATAACTATGGCAAAGGCTGTTATGATTGACGAAGGATATCCATACGGAGTAATTGCATCAGACGTATTCCTATCTGATTTCAAGGTGGGTAGAGTTTCTTAAAGTAAGCTACACCTACACGTATGGAAATTTTCAGAAGAGGACGCCCTGATTGTTTTCTAAATTTTTGTTTTTGTTATTATTGCCGCTTCTCTCTATACCAGTGGTTCTGATACTTTTTAGAATTTTTCAAGTCCCGCGCCCCACCTCAAAAATAACTAGCTATCAATGAGCAACACATAACAGATAATAAGGCGAAAGTTTGTTTTATTCAAAAAACACGTTGAAATTCGTGGATGGAACGTAAATATCCAACATTAGGCGGGCAAGATCGAATCTAACAAATATTTGTATTTTTAATTAGCTTCACGCCCACTCAAAAAATTGACTACGCCACACTTGTTGGGCGCGCCCCACCGTTTGGGAGCCACTGCTCTTTTACTATACCTTCTGTATAATTTTTTTTTTTTTGGGGGGGGGGAACGCCCGGTTCGGAGAGAACGACATATAAATACGTCCTATAAAATAACTGTTGGTAATGCGAGATGGAGATGTCGTAACGTTATACATCTGGCACTCTTAAATATTTTATCCGGATCTATGCAGCTTCGATTCAGGTCAAATTATTCCGATTTTACAAAATTTCACCGCACCGTCGAATGGTCGATTCATTTTCCAATGAGAGCCGTTGTTTTACTTGACGATAGGCTCCCATGCAGCGGACTTATTGTTCATATACATTCACAAGTTTTTATTTTAATCTATTACTTTGGGTAATCAATGTTCATTTGTTTTAAACATTACATGTATTACTGGAATACATTTTATAGGTGAAAATAGTACCTATAAATATTATGCTAAAATGGGCATTTATTTACAGGACATGTTTCTTGGGTACGAATGTGGACGAGAGGATTGTACTTTGATAGATCTATCCTGTCATGTAATCTATCATAAATTTTACTCGTGGTCTCATGGTTCGAGTGATATACTTGGACGTGATCTGACTACTGTAGATCCGAATCTGGCAAGTGTAGTTTTCGACCAAGGATTGCTTGTTACTGAATCTTGCATTGACGTAAACAAAATAAGAACTGAGCATTCTTGCCGCGTTAATTTGGAAAAACTAGATCAATTGAGTGAAATTGATTTCGAAGGAAAGGAATTTTTCGCACGAAGAATACAAGGGACAAATACAGTTCTTATTATTAATCATTGGGATTCTCATTATTACTGTACGAAGCATGCTTCAGTCGATGAACATTGTCAGTGAGTGTAATTCATTTCTTAGATTCAGATAGCAGATAGCAGCTTCGACGACATCTAGTTACCAGCGACCGGATATGTGAGCCAATACAATCAGAATGAACTTTGTCATGAAAAATATTTGTAAATTTTAGTCGTAAATTATTTTTAAGAAATTTAGAAAATTGCAGTTGAGTATATATCTTAATTAAATCTCTTGCGCCATTTTTTTTGCGTGACAACTCTTTTCTGTAAACAACTATTAAATAATATCGCAGCGCCGTATTTATTTGTATAACTAAGAATTTGGGTCGGGATCATATTTTACCTTCGACATTGGGTACCGGATATTGATAGTCTTTTGAATATGTTATGCTGAAAGTTTCATAGTTTTTCAACATTAGAACCGCTACCAATTGATACTATACAGCAACGATTCTTCCAGTTTCAATTTTCTTAATCAAGACCACCAGTTAATTCAACATCCTTAATCTAAGTAATTTATTATTCGCAATTTACGCGACCTTAGAAAGATACTCAACCTTTGAGTATATCACTTTCCCTTTTGTTTATAGCTACGACGACAACAGCGAGTATTGCGAGTCAGCATGTCATACAAGTGCCAAATTCGACTACTGTAGCAATTCCGAATCTTACGACTGGGCTTTAGACCCACCACCATGCGTAGCCTCAAAGCCTAAAGTTAGCGTTTTGCCGCCTGTAGATGCTTTAACTGATTTGCCTTCCTGTTACGACGCTCTTGCATCATGGGAGACGGAATCGAATGACGGACTTTGGGATGACTATCCTGTTGACTATAATGAAAAGAAACCCCATTCCAATTCCTTTGGATTGATATTTGGCTTGTCAACGGCTGTAACGCTGGTGTTTGTCAGCTGTGTGATGTACGTATCCAGGAGTAAAAACAGATCAGTATCTCCTCAACAAACGCAGCACCAACAACCACACTTTCAAACGACACCGAATCAACAACCAATCATTCATCCAACAACAACAATGACTCAGAATCCTAATCAGTTCGCTGCGCCTTTCTCCCAACAACCAGGCTCTCCAAATCCTTATGTTCAAGTAAATATGACGAATCAATTTAGCGTTCCTCCAGGCACTATACCAAATCAACACCAACCTCCCCCAATTGCACCTCCATCTTATAACAACGCAATGACGTATGATAGCGGTATTCCACCGCCGCCAATCTACATTCCACCAACTCCTATAATTAATCCATCAGACCTACCACCTGCCCCTCGATACATGTGAATATTACTGTTTTATATGCAATAAAATGATTGTACTTACTTCAATATGTGTTGTTACTTATCGATCTTGATCGGTAAGTATGATGATCGGTATTTTTTGTTTGTCTGTCTGTCTGTTAGACATTTATGTTTCGAGGTCGAATCCGCTCCAAATTTTGCATGTGCATTCATCATATCTCGGACCAGAAGCCTATTGATTTTGGATGAATTATGTCGTATAATTAGCGAGGGTCTAATCTTTAATTAATATTTTTAATTAGCGAGTTATTGATTGATAAATTTTTTTTTTTGCGGTCGATTGATAAGTCTTCGGTAAAGTAAATATTCTGTGTCTTGACAACCATTATGATATAATATTTGAAGTGGGCATATTTACAACTTACGAACTCAAAAGTTATTGTAAAAGAATCCTATTTCACTCATTCCACAAGCACCCACATAAATTGATATCTTACTTAAAAATACATTTTACGAGCTGGCTGGCAATATGCCAGCATTTATGAATAGTATCGAAATTTGAAATCGTTTGCTTAATTTTGAAATCGTTGTGATTTTCTACCTTCGAAATAGAACAAAAAAATATGTTAGACTATAAAATGAGCCCATGCTGGTATGACAGAAACGTTTTTAAAAATTTAACAAAAAAGAAGCTGTGTTTATGAATTTTTGATTTTAAGCACTCTTTATCGCCAATATCCAAAACAACTTGCTTGTCTGATGGTTAGATTATTACATCATAATAAAAACAGACTGGAAATTTTGGTAAAGAATAACGAAGTATTTTCTTTAGTTGAACTAAAGTCCATGCCAGCGTCGTTTTCGTTTATTTTAGGCTCAAAACGTTCTGCTGTGATAGTTAAAATGTACAGCGCTCTACTGGCAAGTCTACTTATAATAGGTTTATGTTATGGGAAAGTGGATAGTCAGTCGTCATTCGCTGAAACAGTCAAATCTTACGTGAATGACACTCTGGGGGCTGCGATAATGCAGAAAAAAATGAACGATGTTCAAACGTCAGAGAAAGCTATTGATTCGCAACCGCTCCTTCGTAAAATCGAAGAAGACATTTCCCATAAATTGTCAAATTTAGCTGAATCAATGACAAAATTGAGGGAATCATTGGAAATCAAAACTCCAACCAAATCTGAAATCAAACTTCGAGACTGTTGTAAAGTAGCATACAGTTGGGAAGAAGGCCAACACAAGGTAAGGCGTACTATACTAAAGATAACTTTGCGATGAAGCATTGAATACCACGCATACATCCTCTCATTATTGCTTTGATTACAATTACAACTCGCTAAGACAGATGAACAAATCAATATGAGTTAGGTTTATTATTAATACCTAGTTTCTAGATTAAGCATTGAAAAACGGTGCATTATTATAATACATGCAGTTCATGATTTTCTTCAGAAAAACCCACACATCTTCCACAACATCTGCAGGTAATACGCAAATTTGGAATATCAGTAGATCCGTATTAAAAGAAAAGTTAATTTCTGACTGTATTGTTAATTTAGGAGCCGTGGCACTTGTGTTATCCACAAAACTTGATGAAAAAACCTGACCTGGGCATAATCAAACGCGATTGATCTTTCAAATAAAAATTTTGACTTGCATTTGTTTACCGCGATTTTATCAGATTTTTAATTCGCCACAAATTGTCCAGATTGACAACACTTCCTACTGTCTAATGCACAACGAGAAAGAATCTGCTGCCGATCTGGAAACTGACAATTTGTTGACTGCGGCTGCACACAATCGACGTTCTTATCCTGAAATAGGATACCAAAGATATCGAGGAATTAATGGGGCGATATTACAATATCCAGCTTATTATGGAGACATTTTTTGTGAGAAATCTGATGATTTTGAATCGTGAGTACCGTGAACTTGATTTCACAATCTTAGCTTATTTAAATATAATAAAGTAATTTGCACTACAATTTGCGAAAGATAACTATGTGGAGTATATAATATTAGAAAAAAAGTTTTATTTTCGCGCCAAAAGTGTATCTGCTAAGTTTTGAAAGAAAGCATTTTGTGTGGTTAATTCGTTAGCTGGAAATCAATTTTGGCCGGCTCGATGGATTAGCAGACTTAACGGTGTTGGCATCGCAAATTACACATTCCGGTTTCAAATCCTATTCCCGCCACATCATCCAGGGTGTAATAAATTGAGTAGGCAGGCAGATTCCGGTTCTTCCGAATAATAAGTAGCGCCATACATATTGTTATATATTAGTGACTTCTTGTATAAAGAATGCCTTGTTTAAAACGAATGGCGGGATTTGACGTTGCATAATAAAAATTACATTCTATTACTACCCCTGTTTCCGCCCGAGTGCCAAATTCCTACCCACAAGTAAGCCTCTATGTATGTACCGCCGGGACGGGTCAGATTATAGAAGAGTAAGTCTATTCAGACGACATTGAATCAATGTATCTAAGCAAAAGATATTTTTGTGGTTGATATATCTTAATTTGTTCATTGCAAATCCAGGTTTGCATCTTCATTTTTCTCGACTGCTAAAGACTTAGTTATCGTCATGGATGGTGATCTGTTGCAGCAGCACAGACCAGAAATGATGGATGCGGTCGAATATGTTTTCAAAGCCGTTAACGTTGCAGACAACATTGCTTTTGTGGTTTATTCGTCTGATGTGGTGACTCTCTCTAATGGACCAAACGGTGCAATAAAATGCAAAAACAAAGAAATGGTTTCAGCTACGCACAAAAACGTAGAAGCGATTTTAGCCTGGTTAAAAACTACAGAACGTAAAAGTGGAAATGCTAATTTTAGCAAAGCTCTGAATGCAGCATTTGACTATCTTGAAAACACAAGAAGCACGAATAGAAAAATGATATTATTTGTCAGTGGCTCCCAACACGAGGATTCCAAAGACGATATTCTACAGACAGTTTCCGATAGAAAATCAAATTTTCAGAATTCGGTGAATATTCTAACTTATGGCGTTAAAAATCCAGCAAGTAATGACGTTCTACAGGAAATTGCTGAATTGAATGAACCTGACACCGGAAAGCATTTCTCTTATGTGAAAGAGACAGATCATTTGATGTAAGACTATCTATATGGTATTAAATATAAACCGGAATAATATAAAAAAAAATCCCTAAAAAAGTACGACAGTGTGTGGTAGAAATACGAAAACATATAAACATACAATTACTAAATGTAAATGGAATATAAGATATATTGTGCACCATGAACTTAAACGACAATGGAGGATCTGATTAATGATACCAAACAAGACTGTAGTGGAATTACGGATTGTACATTTATTTCTTCTCTGTATTAGTGATAATTAGTCAGAATCTAATGTTCAATTTTTCGTAGTCAGAGAGTCATTTATTAATCACACGGAGTCAGAATTTCAATCTTTAGCCAAGTAGGTAGTTGTAGTTGAAATTTTCTGTTGAAACTAATAGAAAGCAAACCTCGTAACTCTGTGTCAAATAAAACTTTTATCCGATTGAACAAAACTACTTGATATAGTTTAATGGAGCAAAAAACGTGTTATATAAATTACAGAAAACACTTGTCATTTGAACATTTTCCTTCATCAAGCGAAAATGAGATTCAATGGAAATGGCCAGAATTAAATAAGCTTTCCGATGGTGAAATCGTGGTGACTGCTTTGCAATCAGTCTTTGTTGATGGTAAATACATTATTACATGCATATATAAATATATACATCTGTAACCGATTCTCTTGATTACCGACTAAGAGTATGTACGTTTGGATGGTGACCGTCGAGTGCATTGTTGGACGCGAGTTGAACTCTTGGATCTATTGCTTTTCGATTTTCGGTTGTTTGAGAATTTTTTTGCCTATTTTAAAATGAGTGGTTGAATTTCTCCCTGACGAAAGTCCACTGGTAAAAACTTCGTTCTAATTGACCTACGCTTTGTTGTTTTCAAACGAGCTTGCTTCTGTTTTCACAGATAAGTTGAAAGGCGTTATTAGCGTTGACATCTTATTGCAAGTTCTGATAAGTGAAGTCTTAAACTTCGAAGTACAAGGAGACGATGCATATGTTTTTGTCATGGACAAAAATTTTAACGTTATTTACCATCCTTTCATTTCTTATTCTTCAAAACGTGAATGGTCGGACCGAATTCTCAATATTCGTGAACTAGAGAAAAGGTTTGTACATCGTAAAGTATTCAAAAAAGTATTCTTACAAATGAGAATTAGCCCAAGATACAGAAGACGAGATAAATCAAAACACCATTCATACATTTCTCTCTCGTTTAACCATCGCAGAGCATGCCCGTGTTTACTCACTAAGGTCTGATGGACTAAGATTGAAAATTTAGAAATGAATATTTTAGTTGTTGTTGTGTATAATTACAAATGCTTACAACTCTTAGGTCAGTTATCGTTCAGCTTCGTTTTTTATCATTCATTAATTATATTCATCATTATTTTTTTCTATAAAATAATTGATATCCCAAAATTACACGTAAAGAATCGTTAATATTCAAGAGTTGAGAGACTCAGACAACTGTAATTAACCACGTGAAAGCGAAAATATAAATCTGAAGAAAATAGCAAAAATTCTTGCGTTGCTTTCCAGATAAATTCGTCGGTAACAACACCAAGTAGATTAATTTGATCGTGAGGTTTTCAAAAACTTAATCGAGTACCAACCGACTTGTCGATTTCAATGGATTGACGAGGACTAGGCAAGATTTAAGTCCGATATAGACGACGCGAGTTATATATATACGATGACATAAGTGCTATGAAGTGCCGGTAGCAAATAAATATCAATTTGTCGCATTGCTGTCTTCGTTGAATATTCATGTTCTTTTTTTTTATTTTTTGTAGCGATGATTTACAAACACTTCTGTCTAAAATACAAGAAAACCAAGATTCTGAGAGTGTTTCCTCGGATCGAGTTATCACTGTATCAATGAAAACAACATGGAGGACGCTAAAGGTTAAATTGCTTTCTTGCATTTTATGCCGTCTCAAACTCATTTGACCTTAAGAACTAAGGCAGGACTATTGTTGGATCCGAATTCCTGGTCTTTTTGAATTTTCAATGGAATATATTGAGAGCATTTTAAACTAAGAGAAGCATTTTGATTACTCTCTTTAGGTAATATAGTCCAGAAACAATGTCTAAACAATATATATAAAACAATCAAAAGAGTTTTGATGTAAATTAAAGATTTGTTAGAAAATTAAAATATACAATTACAATATTATTAATGTAACTTTGAATTGGGTTGCGCGCGACTAACTAACTCCCTATCTTTCCTCTATGCCTTTATGCTAGTGGATCCGTATGCATATACTGCAAGGATCCTGTATAGCGGGAATAGACATGACTATTCTATACAATTAAAGAGTCTTGCTGCACACTAACACAAATGTATTTCTGTTACGTTTCGTCCGACCAAAGTCAGACTTCCTCAGACAAGCAGTTTACAACAAAGCTGTACAACTGGACACTTTAATTGAATAGATTATTTAATGTAATTGTGTTTTCTTCTATTGGGTTTTGCAGGATAAAATAAATGCTGACTACTCTCTCTATAATTCCAAAGTAACGTGCACATTGACAGATTTCAAACTTTTCACGGTTTGTCTAAACGTAATAGATGGCGCCGAGAAGACGGTTCATGTAAAAGGTGTAACCGTTCCAGAAGAATTTCAATTTCATTACCACAGGTTAGCGTTACATTGCGTAAAATATTTTGCTAAATTGTTCACTGTGTAAACTTGAAAAAACAAATCGTGCATCGATTATATAGTGTTTACTCAGCCCTGTAGGCGTGAAACTGTTTGTTTTATAGAATAGGTTCGAAAAATGTTTCTTTTTCGCGTAATTCAAATTTGTGAATTGACATAGACGCTCCACCAATGTCTCTAGTTCAGTGTTTCCCAAGCATTTTTGGTCGCGGACTATTTCCCACCGGCGAAAATCTTTGCGGACTCAAGGTGCGTACTGCGTATATTGCAATCGTGAAGAAGCAATGAAACCAAACACAACAAAATTTAACGAATTTCCAAATCGGAAATTCGCCTCAATTACGCGTTTGTTGAAATGGCCGACTTTTTTAGTGTATGGCCTTTTCTGTCGGAAAATATTCAATCCATGACAACGAAGTGAATTTAAAATGTCTTCATAATTTAATTCAATTGTCTTCATGGTAACTCGCGATTGCGTCGACTTACGACAAGATGAAGGCGTGGTAAAATGCCCGATTTATATTTTGTTTGGATTCGTATTTTTGTGAGCAGTTCGTACAACATTTACGGCGCTCCAGTACTGTACGTACTAATATGGAGGCAGTAAAGCAAAGTATCCAAAGGGAAGATGTCCTGGTACATACACTACGGTAGCACCCAAAATTTTGCGATATGCAATGTCTAAAAAAGCGTTTATAATCGGTCGTGGATCCTCATAAAACAAAACTGATGGTGTTCTCCGTTTTATTTTTAGTATTTTGTATTGTCGCTTCTCAATTTAGAAAATTTGGGTTTGCCACCATTGGCACCACCAGAAAAAAATCGACGCATGCGAAATCCGCAAGTGAGTTGTGAAATCCAATCGTTTGATTAAGCGACGCGCAAGTGACCTGTCGCTTCACCTCAAATTTTCGAATAACAAATTGCTCTTCTAATAGTTGAATATTCGAATATATGCCCAGCCCTACTCAGTTTTTATGTTTTATCCAAATTCTAACGTGAATCGTAACTTGGCTGATATTAAGTTTTCAAAAACGTTTGCAACCCGCAGTGAATTCCTGGCTCGTTGCGGACTCAATAAAACGCTCCGCGGACTCATTTGAGACCGCGGACTCGGGTTGGGAAACACTGTTCTAGTTTAAAGTCATAGGTGTATTACCCTTTCTTGTTAGCTTTTTCGAAGGATTATACCGGATATTTATTTCTATATTCATCTTCAGGATAGATTTCAGTGACAATCCCGAAGGTGACTGCAGTCATTTAAAAAACACATCATTCCTTGGAACAGCAGTTTATCTTGCTCCAAAAGCATTTGTCAATCCTGACAGGTGATCATACTTTGAATAAAACGTTTAGGATAGAAAAGTCATAATATTGTCGTATATCATTGATTGCTGACAACGGGCACACGCAGTATACTAATGGAAAAACACATACAAGTGCATCTAGAGTTGAGAACGAATAAATAATATTTTTTTCTCGTGTTCGTCTCATGTATCTACTCTATGACGTCACGATATCGACTGTCGTTGGCATGAACTGCTGTAGTGAAATGTTTTAGAGAATTAAACAAAAATCATAATTTCACAAATTACGATTGTCACGTGGTCAGTTATAAGTGCGCGATCCAAACATAAAGCTAAAAACTTCACAAGTCGTATACCAACGAGGCAACGAAACAACGCATCCAATTAAACCTTCAGTTGCAAATAAACAAATAATATTTTTGCCTTGTGTGCGTGATTTATGATTACTCTATAACAAGAAAAGTTTCAAGCAGGCACTCAATCTTTCTTCTGAACTAATTTCGTTTTAGTAAGATAGTAGTAGACCTAGCCAAATAACTTACAAATTGACGACAGTTCTTGTAAAAGGTGTTAACGAGAGAAAAGAATTGGGTCAATGCATAAATTTTGAAAAATCATATAGATCCGAGAAAATTAAAATACAGTTCTTTGCGATAAATCTATTTGAAACTGTGATAATTGCATTCATATTTTATTAGCACTGATAGATCTTCACTATCTTTAACAGATATTTGACCGAAGACGAAGATCCAAGCCGCATTGAAAAATATGCAAAAGACATCCAAACACAGAGTGGAAATATAATCACTGATTCTGCAATCCAGGATATCTTTTTGACGTTTGGGTAAAAATTGTTTTCATGTTATTTTTCAAATTGAATAAAATACTAACATGGGTAAAATACCAACAGGGTGTAAAAATGTTTTAATCACTGTAATTTACTTAGGATATGATCAAGTATCAATGGGGAAACTTCACATTCCGCAGAATATATTAAGAAAATTATCAATATTTTTTAGAATATATTCCACTATAGAATATTTTATTTTGCTTACGATTACATCTATAAAACTGAATATTGCTATATATATTTTTTATTTTTATAATAGCTTTTTATTTTCCTACCAATATACTACAGTAAACGTGGATGACAATAAATATACGGTATACGGTAATGCTTTTATAATGCAAAACTTCAAAAAACAAAACAAAAAAATTAAGAAAAATACCTATTCACAATTATAATACAGGTAGCCTACATGTCTGTTAACAGAAAATCTACTTTATGGTTCAATTTGTGGAATCATAAAATTTGGAATAAAACAGTGGCCCGGTGACCCCATATTAAAAAACAAATTGTGTAAATGAATGTCCTCCGGGAGGACACTTCTATCTTCAACAGTAATTTCTTTAATAAGTTTGATTGGGGGGCGTGAAGAAGTAAAGACTAGCTAAAATATTGTTTGTATCTTCAGTTTAGAGGAGCACTGGTTCGAATCTGATGAGAACGAAAATCTATTCAAATCTCAGATTGCCTCACATGTAATATGGAAATATATTGGAACCAAAAATGGAGTGCTCCGTATATGGCCTGGAGTTCCAACTTTCTAAGGTGAGATTTTAGGTACTCCGTTAGTGTGTGTACCAGGTTAGGGTTCAGGCCCTAATTTTATTCCGATTTCCCTTATTTTAAGTTATATTACGAGTTCAGAGAACTGTCTGTGTTAGCCAAGTGAATATACCCCCATTCCCATAGGTTTCAGTCCCTTTACACAACTTGATGTGAAGTAGGCGAACAAAATTAGTTACCTACACTTCTGGAGCGCCCGTTGGAGAATTTAATATCGTTAGGTGATCATAAAAGGAATTCATAATGAGGAATTCGGTATATATTGAAGTTTCGTGTTATAAAAATCCTATTGTACATTGTATTTCTCGTTCTTCTTGTTTGCCGAATCCATTTGTGCTTTCACTTACGTGTCTATGCATTTCTTATTTACAGGATTTGATCCACACTGCAAGGCCTTGGTATCAGGCAGCTCTGACAAACAAGGATGATAAATTCACCATTACTTCGCCGTATTTGATGCGGCACTGAAGAGTGGATCATATCGTTTTTCAAAAGCAATCACATGAAAACTTCATCTGATAGCGATAAGTTTACGGCAGTCATTGGATATGATATTACAATCTGGAAATTCTATGTGAGTTATTAATATTTCATAACAAAATTCCCTTCGAAAAAAAATTGTTAAAAAGTACGATTGAGCTAACAAGAATAAATAACTTTTGCCATGAAAATTCGTTCAGAATGCGTAATACTAATAATTTATTGCAGAATTCCAAGTTATAATTCATGGAATCGATACACAAAAAAAATTGAATTAGATACATATATAATTGGCTTTTTATTAAGTAGGGAGAAGAATTATCTGGGCTATTGGACGATACCCTGCTTGAAACTAAACCTAAATGATTTAATAAAAATGTACTAAAAAGTCACACACAGCATTTATCTTGACAAAACTTTTCATATCAGGAAATGCTACAAGCTATCGACAAACGCTGCAACGACATGTGTATGATATTAGACCCGTCAGGGTACGTCGTCTATCATCCCAACATGATTATAGATAATTATGACTACAAGAGTCATGTGGTCGAATTTGAACCGGCCGTTTCCAAGTTTCTCATCGACAAAAAGATTTTAATAAAACAACGATGCTTTGATCAGGGAGCTCAACAAGCTTATCAAGAATATCACAGCGGTGATATGCAGAAGTTGCCTGCGAGAGGTGACAATGATCTATTTAGATTAGATCTTCTTGCCGGCACTCATCTCATCCTATTTTCAAGTCATGAATCTGGCGGGTGGGAAAGTTGGGAGCAATGCTCAAAGGAAGAGATCAGATCATCCCTGCAGGTACGAATATGTAAAGGACTGGTCAATGGCGTTATTTTTTCCAGCTCTTTTATATCTCATATATATAGCACATTGACAATTATCTATTCCAGGGTCGTCTAACCTTTTTGGCCGAAGGGCCACATGTAGTTTACTAATAATTACGCGGGCCACTTAACATGCCATTTTGTTATAGTTTTGCTACACTGACTACAGGTTAATGAGAAAAACCAACACTACCCGCACACCAGACTTTCACAATTATTATACCAATAAAACTGTTGTTATCCAACCATCGATGGGCGCTATCAGTAGTTATTTTCGAAAGTTTCGCCAAAGCCGAGCCAAGACGCTTGATCTTTTTCATCACAGCTCCCAATAGACCAATGCCTCTAGTCGTACCATTAATATGGACAATGGCTACGAGCTCTGCAGTATTTTCAAAATCATTATTAACTCCCCGCAAGAAGATCGCCAACTAAGCAGTTACCTGGATACTATTGCTCTCGTCAAGCGGCAAGAAATACGATGGAAATTTTCCCGCCTTTGAAATTAAAGTTTCCGCTATATGGTTCTCCAGCTCTTCAGCATGACGAGTTATGGTCTGTCTTGACAGACTATTTTTGCAAACACCTCTTTTATTTCCGGACGTAAAACGTTGGCAACTTGAACAATACATAACATACATTCCTTAACGAATTCTCAATCTGAAAATGGCTTCGATTGGTTTGCGATAACGTCATATAGATAGCAAAAGACCAAGTGTGTAAGAGGCTAGGACACCCTCATTTATCGATATCTGATTCATCGATTATCCCAGTTGATTTCGATTCAAATTGGCACTAATGGCTCGGTCGAAAGGGCTGGCGGAGCGCATTTCAGGAAAGAAACAAATCGTTTTAACTTTGTATCACATATTTGTATACTACATCACTCGAAAAATAGTTTTACTCCAATTCTTTTTTATTCAATTCTGAGAAATACCGCGCGGGCCACTCGAAATGCTTCTGCAGACCAGGGGTTGGGCGACCCTGATCTATTCTATTAGGCTACTTGACTACTTTGCATTCCTTGTTGAATTTTGCATTATGCGCCGGATTCTAATGAAATTTGTGTTTGGTTTGCAGAATTACAGATGCCTGCCAAACGCCATGCTTTAATAAATCAGAGTCAGAGTGTGGAAATGAATATGTGAATGCATGTATTCCTTACCATCCCCACGTTCATCCCGTGCATGACGAACCACGCGAGTCGGACCCCTGTTTTGAACACTTCGACGATTTTCATGAAAATCGAATGAAACTAGAATTAGGGTGGCTGGGAAATGCTGTAAGTGGGTTCTTCATTATCGCATTCTCAATCGGATGCGCACTTGGTAAAAAATGGTGGCTTGGAAATAGATCTCAACAACAACAAGTAACTGGAGGAATCCCTCAAACTGCTATTTTAGCATCTGAATTTGGAGGTCAACCTGCCCAAGACTTTGTGAACGGTCCGATGCAACCTGGTATTGGTGGTCAATTCCCGCAAACAAACGGTCCCTTCTCTGGTGTGGTCGGTAATCCACAGATCCCACAGGCGTATGGGTTTGCACCTATGGACCAGCAACAAAATCAATTCAACGCCCCTCCGGCCTATGGATACAATCCACAGCATCCAATTCCACCACCTCCCCCAGGTACGACACCTATACCGCAAACTATGCCGGGGTTTATTCCCCCTGGATCCCAGCCACCATCGTACAACAGTGCAATAACTGGACAGTATAACACAACCCAGTTCAATTAAATTACATTTTTGTTATTAATATTTTTTCATTTTATGTCGCACAACCTATGTAAGATGCTAATAAATATTGTAATGTCGTTACGATTTTGATTTATGAATGTTTTGCATTTTGAATTTAAACACTAAGCTTTCCGGGAAACGGTCGGGTTTCTATATTTCCCAAGGGAGAGGAAAGTCGACAAAATGGCTCGATCATATGAGCACGGCTTCTTCGTCGATTACCATTCGCGTTCTGTTATGAACAAATGCATGGGCTTGGAGTCCAGCAATTCGTTCGCAAAAAGATAAGTGATTTAGAACTTTGCCATACACAATACAAACACACAGGAAGAAAATTCAGAAAAGCTGCAAAATGATGTTCAAAATATGGGACAAAAAAGTACTGCATGACAATCTCCTTCTGGAAATTTCAATAAAAATGAAAAATTCTGATAATGCATAAATAAAGAAATCGATGAGATGCTCCTTAATCGGACTAATCTTGTGAGTAGTGTGATAATATATGTGGATGACGTATTCGCAGGAGCAGTGGAAATAAAAGAAATAATGTAATAAATGCGGACACATACTAACCGCGCATACCAGGTATAACATCGTCCCGTGAACGCACTAAAGGTAATAAGCGATGACTTGTATATCTCTTAAAGCCCATTGCGAAGGGACCAAACATTAACAAATGCTGAACACCTAGTCCGTATTACAACAAAATATATGTAAAGATTAAAGATATGATCCAAATACTTCCGATTTCGGCCAGGTCAAATCTTCAATCAGTAAATATTACTCCAGAGCAGGTCTGCCCAACTTTTTAAGTGCAGCAAGCGCTTTCACTCGAAGAAATTCATTGCGGGTCGCAAACGCGTTTGCCAAACTCAAATACCAGCAGAGTTCTGATAAACATGAGCAAAAAGCAACTTTAATAACATAACATCAATGAAGTCAACAGTCTCTAGTGACTAAGTGGGGATATAGCCGAAAGATTGAACAGTGGTTTACTATCTGGAGTCAACAGAAAATATATTACTTTTGTGCCGATAAGGACGACACGAAAGCTAATAAAAAAGAATAAAATAAGTTTGTAAATTTAGGTTACAAATTCATTTTATAATTTTCTTCGGCGTCTCGTCGCCAATGACGGCGCAATAGCGTTGTTTGTCGAATCGAACTCGCAGTTACGGAAGGAATTAAAAAATAAGCAGCAATGTCCACCAAGGCACAAGACTCGATGCATGCGTAAATAGGGAACCTGACATTTAGATGTGGATGGCCAGAACAATCGCACCAAAATTCCGAAACATACTTTAGTCTATAAAAGTACTAGAAAATTTAATGAAAAGTCTGCTTATATACCCATTATATGTCGGCATGTGGCTCGCTGGTGAGGCAGCCATGATCTAGTTCTAGTACAGTGATTTTCAACCGGTGTTCCGCGGAACACGGGTGTCCCGCGAGAAACCTTCAGGTGTCCCGCGAGAAACCTTCAGGTGTTTCGCGAAAAATTGCTTTTTTGAAGGAATATTACGTCATAACTGAAATTCAACGAGCCGATGATCTTATACAAATTACACAAGGCTGCGGGTTGATGTACTTCTAGAAACTTTCTGGATTGGGGCCTCCAGGAAATTTCCAATTCGTGCTAAAAAGCACTTTCAATCTTGCTACCATTTTTCACTACCTATCCTTGCGAAATGAGCTTTTTGAACATGATCGAATAGCGAATGAAAAATTAAAATATTCGAATGATATTTTACCATTCGTATATCCGATACCACGTGACATGTACCGCTCTGCTTGGATTGACACGAAACTCGCGCGCGCTGGTAAATCATCTCTTGGATTTTGCAAAAAGTGCGCCGACAATATTTCGTAAATGTAGAAACGTCAATTCAAATAGGATATTTAGAATAACGTTCTCGGACTTAAGATGTTATTAATCATTCCACGCATGACCGGGATATAAAATTCATTATCGGAAATTAAGATTTACGAAGACGTTTTCAATAGCCTACGTTCCTAGACGTTTTCGTTCAAAGTGTGCTCTTTATCGTCAACTTGCTTAACGGTCACTTAGAAATGGCCTTATTCCAGATTTTAAAGCCGATGCAAATAAGAAAAATCAGAATAGAATTAATTTGGGCTTTGAAATCACTCCTTAATTTCATTAACATCTCTGTCGCCGATGTGATAGCATAGTTATACCAATAATATGAAACTTTGATCTCCGCCGACCCACAAGAATTAATAATTGCGCACCGGAACAAAAAGCGGAAATATAAAAACGTACAGGGGACAAAAATGATCGATTATAACGAAATTAACCAGTAAAAATCGCTTTGTTGCCGATTTTCAATTTTTCTATTGATTTCCAAACCGACCTCCGGCGTTCTGGAATCATGTTGTGCGTAAAAAATATTGTCATTGGACTATTCGGTATTCGAATTATTTGAGTCGAAAAAATATTTGATTTTACCCACCACTTTATTGGCCACTATGAAAGTCGAAAAACGTGGGAAATGAAGAGCCGTTGAAAAAAGCTGCGTGTTCGTGTCACTTCAATTCCAGTCAGAATCAAATATTTAAAACTCATCGTAACAGCCCCAAATATCGCACTAAAATACCATCCTTGTTTCTAGCTTATTATAGTATGCATAAGCAAACTCGCAAAAACATTTACCGTATATATGTGTACCATACTTTAGCTCTTGTAGCTCTGAATCGGAACGTGCCACGTCTTTTCCAGCTAAAGAGGACAAGTTATATAATCAATTTCGTTATTTTATTTTCATGTCGAAATGATCGATGTCAGTTAATTACATAATATAGTTTAAAAAAATCTCATTTGGTGCTTCGCCATAATTTTAGACTATGAAAAGTGTTCGGCGGTACAAAAAAGGTTGAAAATCACTGCTCTAGTAGAGCATTGGTTCCCTACATGGTCACAGAGTCTTTGCAAGGCCCCACAGCAGTAGGAGCAAAAAATGGCAATTTCGTCGGCATACTTTTCCTCTATAGTAAAATTTCCCGCCTTTCAGAGGGTCATCACCTGCCAAGGTTACTTCACGGAGTGTTTTTATTCTTCTGTGCATGAATTGCTTGATCATAATGGGTTATCTGTCAATCAAAATGACCTGTAAATACTGAATACCGCTGCGAATTCTAACCTTTGTAGTTGTTTAACAATCCACCAGACTTCTATTGTCGACGCAGAAAAAATCTTACATTTCTAGTATTATCAAGGAACGGAAATGAGGCGATAATTTCATTGACAAAGTAAGCTTAGGCTGCGAACCACTGCTCTAGACTTCTGTGTCGCGGTTGCCATGAAAGAATCAAACGGCAGTAGTATATCCCGTTTTAGCAGGCACAGTCCCACTTTTCAACGTCTTGCCTTGAGGTCACAAAAATATGGATTATGGTCAGATTTCTTGATTATCGCACTCAATCCTCGCCCCGTTCGAAGACGTACAACATAACGCGATTTGTAAAACAGCCCTTGCGACACCGCGCCATATTTTTTTTCGATTCGAATCAAACACAAATTTCTGGACATAAAAATGCGTAGGAGAAACTAAGATATTACAACAACTTCATATTAAAACAATACGAACGAGCATTCAAGTGTACCCTCAATAATGACACCGGAAACTGTTGTCAAGTATGAATATCAGCACACCAGATTGCAAGTTGTTTCAATAACTTTTCTCTATAAATTTTGTTGAAATATGCTAACTTTATAGCAAGTGTGCCGCCCCAACTTAGACCTCCCTGATGTGACAAAATACAAATATTTTTGTAAACACTGATCTAAAATTACAACATAACAGCAGCAATACAATAACAGCAAACAGTGAGCAAATACACAACAGTTCAGGTTAGAAACAACACATTAGTACCATATTAATGCATCAGGGCAGGGGTATATCCGACTCCCGTGCTATTTTCTTGATTTATAAATTACAGACATATTCCCAATATAAACAATTTTTTTTCAATCACAGAAAGACCAATACAACTATTAAGATGATAAAATTTTTATTTTCTATAAATGTGAAATGGAATCGATATTAAGCCATGAATTCAGGCTGGTGTGGACTTAACAATAACTGAATCAGATGATTGTAAATGGTTGTATCGTCACTACACAATCATCTACCAGAAACTTTCAAATCTGATGTTTTATTAATAATCGTATATCATGTGTTTTCTGGTTTGACAAAAAAAAATTTCTCTCTCCCTCGTGGTAATTTAAAATGACTTAAACTGTATCATTAGAAATAGAAAATTTTCTGCCTTAAAATTAGAATAAGCACCTTACGAACATGCAATGAAACCTATCATATAAAATTGTAAATTACTAAATTAATTGAACAAAATATTACATAGTGTTACTTACAATAAAGAACAAAATTAGTACAAAAATAAATGCAATTAACCCTTAAATACAGAAATTTGAGGAGAATATGAACTTTCTGATTACCGATATCGCCAGAAGAAAACCCTTTATTTCAGTTTTTATCCAAACATTAAGGACCAAGGTAATCATCAAATTACATTTCTTCATCATCATCGTCCAAACCATCATCAAGCGGAGGAAAATCTCCACATTTAACACTGAAAGGTCTCAGAAAACTGCCATATTTATTAGCACATTCAAAATATTTTATTCCATCTACAGTTCCATTATTTTTTCCATATGGTTCATCATATTCAACACCAATCCATAAGTTAGGTTGAAACTCTGTCATACCTAGAAAAATTTGGTTAAGATAACAAATAAACCTGTGTTGCATTACATGTAGAGAAAGAGCACTCGGATTGAATATGGACATTTACTCTTGGGTAAAGGGGGTAAGTGGATCACTCATCCAGTTACCAGTCCAGATTGGGTATGGTATATCAATTCCACACTTCAGAAAACAAATAACTGGCTAACTAATCCCATACCCACCTTGGGCTGGTAACCTGACAAGGGCCGTGGATTGTCATATGATTTAGCCGTCTTTTCTCCTTTCCTTAAGAAATGAGGGCGTCTGACACAACGTCAGATTGTGTCATGCTTGTCTCGATAATAATCAAAGATGTAAATCCTATCCTATATGCATGGTGATGTCCATATATGTGTATAAAGTTTGTGATCAACTCAAATGTTTTTTTTTTGAATAAGGTATAAATAAAGAATAATTAATTACTGCCACTCAAAAAAAAAAATGCAAAAATACAAGCTAGAAAATTAAACTAACTAAATATATTCATTGAATAATATATCAAATTCACATAATACCTTCATTTAACTAGGGTTAATCTTACCAACAAATTTCACTGTGCCCCTTCGTGGCATTATTATTTGGCAGCTTAACTTCACATCTGCTGCCGACTTTTATATTTTCCAACGCTTCCTTCTCCATCTGTTTCCTTTCTTCCTCTTTTTGTTTCATTCTTACCTGTTCTTCAGGATCGTATTTTCCCATTTTTTTCTTTTTTAAAAATGCTCTAACAGAATCTATGAAAATAATGAGTAATTAAGTCTTAAACACACAAACAAGACCTTACCCATTTAATAATTCCGCGCTCCCGAAGTATGTGCACCAAGATAGCGCACAACCTGAACCCTAACCTGGTACAACTACTATGTTCAGGTTGTGCGCAACCTTAGTGCACATACTTCTGGAGGTTCAATAATCCAATACTATTGATAGAATTTTATTTTGATAGACATATGACTAATTTTTAAATACTCTCTGAAATATTCAGATGAAATTTTCAAAGAGGAAACGTTTGATACGATAGCATAGTTTGCAGTAGTGAAGTCTTAAGGTACAAAACCTGATTTTTACTATAGGCTTCGTCTGATATCGAATATTTTTCTACTTTCGATACATCTTCGTATTCCCAACTTTTCTAGACTTTTCTCTGTCAATAACCTGAAATGTTAAATAAATACTTATATATAATAACACTTGTAATATATATTATTTATTTATTTCATATGGATGAAGCCATCCAATAGGGCTGGGCATTTTCGAATACCTGATGATTTCAGAATCAAATCAAATATTTTTCCAAATAGAATCTATATTACTTGGAAGATATGTAATTCTACTGACTGTTTCATTGTAATGGGTCCTTTAGACACATAAATTAGTGAATACACGTAATCTATTACTCACACAGTTCGCAGAGTGTTCACAAATAGTGAGAAACATGTTTCATCAATAACTCACTCGGAAGATAAGAATCGTATGTTAGAATCGCATTTTAAAAATTTGACATGAATTAAAAAAATGAGGGATTCATCTTGACCTGTGGGCAGTCAAAAAAAGCAAGACGGCGGCCATTCGAAATTACAGTCTGAACCGATTCGAATAATTCACTATTCGATTCGAATTGCCCATCCCTAACCATTTGAAGTCATCAGAGTCTGTTACCAGCTTGAACATTTCCTCCAAAAAGAAACTTCAAAATGAAGCTTTCCATGCGGTAATTAAAAAAATAGTTGCTAACTTGCTACCACCTGGCTTATATATCTTTAATAACTTACATGCAGTCTCATATTATCATCAATATGATATGAACCAAGAAGTGCAGATGAGTCGCTCAATTTACAAGCGAGTTTATTATCTTCTGTATAAACTTCCAAGTCCATGTTAAGTGCAGGAATACCTGTTATGAGCTCCAGTTTATCCTGTACAAACGATATGACAAAACAATATGGTAAATACATGGATTGTGTTATGCAGGTTTATGTTATGTTTGACTAAGAATAAGTGAGACATTAAATTGTTGAACACAAAACCTTAGAGACAATGAAAATTAAAAATGAACTTCAGGGGTCGAGCAGTCTTTATATATCACAGAAGCATAAAAAAATTACACAACAATAACATATAGAAAGTAATTTTGAGGTAGATGCATCAGAATTATGCTGTGAATTAATATTTATTATTTTTCAAAAGTCAAGAATATCAAAGTATTCATATATCTAGATATAGAAATCCATGAATAGCTTTACGGCCCATGGACAATACGCCCAAGATATTTTGTCCCTTGAACCATTCCAATGTATAACCCGCAAATGATAATTTGAGTTATGACTTTGACTATCGGTCATCTTGAGCTTTGTTTAAAAATAATAATATCTAAATACACAAATATATATATACAGTATAGATTCATTCACTACAGTAGCGACATATACAATATAGCCTACTGTTAATTTGTGATTGGAAAATTCGAAGCCCTGGGGGCAAAAGTCTGTATACCAATAAATATTCTGTCACTTTGTCAAGAATAGGTACCGGCAGGGATGGCCAAAACCGAATAGTTCACTATTTCGAATACATTCGAAATTATTTTTTCCGAATATGAAATTTCGAATATTTCGAAAATAAAATCCATTAATTGAAGCTTATCTAAATGTATGTAGGAATTTCCATACAATAAGCAATAGAATAACTGCTATCTACAAGTTACAACCTAGCTATATTACCAGGCATTTCATATTTGCAGATTATTGCAGTATATATTTTATATACCATGAGTCATGTTAACAGAATTAAATTAATACGGCAATAGTGGTATCGATGATGGATTTGAATATTTGCGCAACACAAAATCATCCTAGTAAAACGCCCATACTTTCAAATACCAACCATTATCCAAATCATTTGCCAAAAAGCGGGATAAAGTATGAGTTATTTTTCCGACTTGTGACAATTTTTCGCGAGTACAAAAATACGAATCAAAAATTATTTATATTCGGGAACTTTACCACACATTTGAGGTCCGAAGATTGCCGTTGTATGTTTGAGTAATAATACTTTTATTATTTTATAAATATGAAAATACGAATCAAAAACTATTTATAATCGGGTAGTTCACCACACATTCTAAGTCCACAGATCGTCGTTGTATTTTGTGAATACGGAAATAGGAATCAAAAATTAATATTAATCGCGAGTTTGCCACACAATTTATGTCCACAGATTGCGGTGATATTGTGCCGAATATAATTAGTTTTTGATTCTTATTTTCGTACTCACGAATAATTGTCACACATCGGAAAAAGATTTATATTTTATCCCGCTCTTGGGAACTATTCAGATAATGGTTGCCATTGGTTTGTATTTAAAAGTATGGACTTTTTACTAGGATGATTTTGTACTGCGCAAAATATTCGAATCCATGATCGATACCACTATTTAAATTGCCTTACCGTGTTAATTTAATTCTATTATCATAACTAAAATGCTGGTAAATCGGGCAGTTTACCACACATTTTAAGGTCACAGATCGCCGTTGCATTTTAGAATTATAATAGTTTAATTATTTTGTAAATACGAATCCGAAATTATAATTGGGCAGTTTACCACATATTTCATGTCCACAAATACCCGTGGTATTTGGTATTAATACTTTCATTATTTTATCGATATAAAAATATGAATTAAATTTTTAATAAAATCGGTCAGTTTACCACACATTTTATGTCCACAGATTGTCGATACAACCATGAGTTACATTGAACAGAATTAAATTAATACGGCATGACATTTTAAATGCTGGTACCAGTCATGGATTGGATTATTTTGCGCAACAAAAAATCATCCTGGTAAAGGATCGATACTTTTAACTATCGTTATCAGAATTATTTGCCAGAAATTATTTTCTAATAAACCGACTTGTTTTTCCAACTTGTGACAATTTATTAGATATCGTAACAATGACTGCTATAAATACCGTATTTTCCGGCTAATAAGTCCACATGGCAAATAGGACGATGTCTATTTTTAGCACTCAAAAAAGGGGTTTTTCTATATAGGCCTCCAATAAGACGTGTAGAAAAATTGTGTCCCTGTTATTCAGTTATGCTGATATGCGCTAATAATTTTAAATGTTTAGATCCAGATCATGTTAGTTTGGTAGAATCATACTCACAGAATTAACTATTTTTAACAATTGAGCGGTAAATTTGAGTTGTAAAGCGGCAATCATTTTGGACAATCTTTTAACCCGAATGTTGAAATAATTTTGGAATGTGATAAGTAATACACTGTATACGTCCACGGGTTATTTCACAGCTGTGTTTTCCTGTCGTGTTCTGCTGAATCGGCAAAACGAAAGGGTCACAAATCACTTTATCTCGGTGGCCTAGAAAAGCGACTTATTAGCCGGGAAATACGGTAATTGTCAATTTTTCGACGTAATGGAAATGAATTTGTAAATTAGAAGCCTCGTAGACGAATGTCGGCAATGTCCACCCACGCAAACCTGCAAATGTGTCGCAACACTACGCGACGTACGGTCGCACAGAATATAAACAATCAAAGTGCCGATTCTAATTCATCGTCATTACAATACGTGTTTGAGCGTAAAAAGTCGTTTGAAGATTCCCGTAAAACGAAACACCACGCTTACGGCGAAAAGTGGCTACTATTCGGAATTATTCGAAAATCAGCAGAAAAGGTATTCGAATACTTTGATATTCGAATACTTTCGAATATTCGATTCGTTTTGGACAACCCTGGGTACCGGTACCGTAAAACAGAAACAAAGTATAAAGTATAGTTTTGTAAAGTAAAGTATTGTATTTGAATTGTGAATTTAGTATAATGGGCACAGTTCTGTGATTCCAAGATGTCCTGACATTTGGTCCAATAAAACAAACAAACACTCTATTTGTCTCAGAAATGAGGGCGTCTGACACAACGTCAGATTGTGTCATGCTTGTCTCGATAATGATCAAAATTAATCATGGCCGCCACATGACAAAAATTGCAGTATTCTGTTAAAAACTCTCGAAAGCTACAGTTTCCATTAGTAAATCTAAGTATATTTTTCCAAGGAATTTAATGGCAATGTTTTTAGATTGCGTTCCTTTTAGTTTATTGCGCCGTGTTAGATTATCAATATGGAGGCCAAATCATGTAAAGAGGTTTGCACTCATTGTTATGATTGATGTGTCAATGTCAGAATGTAGGGGCTATTCTTGGAATCAGAGAACTGTGCCGTACTGATATGAATTTGGTAGCCTAAGATATGTAAATAAAAAACGAGAACATTTTCAAACATTGATAGAATGGACATATGAAAAATGCAACCTTTCTACTTTACGATCTGACGATTGTTTGCAAGCTTATTTATTTTTGGTCATATTTTATTGTAGTATTGTATCGGAAAAAAGAGAATAATGAACGCAAAAAAAAATTTATGATTAGTTATAAAATAATATTTCCCATACCTTCAAGGCATCAATTGTAAGACCTCTACCGAATTTCCGTTCACTATAACATGTGTTCAGGCTGATGGAAGAACTCAAACTAAGCTGAACAACTTCTGCTGAATGTATAGAAATAGTCTCCATCATGATAAACTTCGAATGCTGTGTAGTTGAAGATAGAAAATCGTCCAGTTGGCAAGAACTTTTCAAGGCAAGAAGTTGTCGAAAAATCGTAGAAGGATCGAGAGACACAGAAACGCCCGAGACACTCAGAAAATCACGTTTATTACTGTTGGGTCACGCTACACTAATTATTCGAACTTTGAGATCAAAGGTTATACCACTGAATCCACAATTGCAACATTTAAATTGAATGGTATCTTGAATAGCTCTATAAAAATATATAAAGGTAGATTATTAACTTAATATTAAATAAAAGCCTCCCTATATTACGCATCCTGTCACATTATACAACCAGCTTTATCCATGCGAAAATGGGTGCCATGGTGATCGACAAGCTTCACTGAATTTGTAGTACGCCAGTTTGCTGAGTTGGATTTTCGGTTGGAAAGCGTTTTGTGTTTTTGCTTATTCACTATCATAAACGCTGTTACTCGGTAGATATTTTTAAAATTTAAAGTATTCGGAATCGTTTTTGTAGTGGTTAAAATGGTAAGTTACTAGCTGCAGTAAATTATATAAATTGGTAATCTTTAGGAAAATTCTTGAATCCAGTTAATCTTTGTAAACTATGGCTTATACATTTTTCATTAAATCATATTATGTTTCGTTTAACTATTCGTATTTTATTACAATGTTATAACCTTATATAAAATGATGTAATATGATGTTTTTTTTGAATATTCGATTTTTCATCAACATTACATTATAATAGCTGTTGTAAATATATTTCTGTATAAAAAAAACTATCAAATCCTAATTGTAGTCGCATATTAAATTATTGGCTTTATGTATAAAACATACTGTATATTTTTGGTTTGTTTGAGTATATTTTCTAACACCATCTTGCCTTAACTACCTGCAGTTCCCATGAAAATAAATTGGTAAATACTGAAATAGTAGTGACTTAAACCCTGGTAATGCTGTAACAGAATATGTTTCGATATTCAATCAATCAATTTTTTATTATAATGAATAAATAATTACATTATTTCAGTAATGAAGTAACTTGTTTACTGCAAAGAAAACGTGCAATTTTGAAATTTGTTCATTTGCTAGGTAGTTACTTATCCTCTCTATAAATAATTTACACATCAAATATTTTTCTAGGCAGCAAAAGGAACAAGCATAAAAGATGCTCTTAGCAAATGGGTGAGAAATTTGATTTTTTTTATTCAAACTATGGTGATGGAGGAGTTGGAAGGTTTAAATTACTAATTTTAACTAATAAAAGGTATCCAATAAAGGCTCACGTCTCGATAATATGCTCATCATTATCAACTTTATCTTAATATTGTTCGGTATTATTTTTTGCAAGCACCCGAACAATTGAAAATATTAATGTATATTTGAATCTTATCGGAGAAGTTTTTGACAGATGTCACTTATAGGCTATAGAATTGAGTTTACTTAGTTAGCACTCTCAAAATATTACTAATCGAAGAATTGCTTGTGGATGCTTTTGTAGGCTACATGTAGATTTATTGTTTCTGCCGATACTCCAGCATATAAGTATCTATTGATCCGAGATTTGAAAACAAGTCAGCATAAAAAAAAAATTTTCCAGGAGGCAGAAAACGAAGAGAAAGCCCCAGAATCAAAAATGGTCAAACTCTGTGGCCAACTACCTCCAATTGAAAAAATGGATGCATCACTTTCAACATTATCTTCATGCGAGTGAGCTTCATCTAGAAATTGTTACATATAAGTAGAGGAATTTAATACGGAAATTTGGACTAATCATATTTTCCATAGTGGTCTCCAATGGTCGGAAAATAAAACAAAATTTCTAAATTTATCTAGTAAATTCACATAATATTTCTCTATAACATATTTGAAGCAAACTTTTTCTTACATATGATATGATGACTGTCTATTTTATTGATTGACATCAATTTTCATATATTTCAGACAATTATCTTTATCAAGCAACTGCATTGAAAAGATTTGCAAACCTGAATGGCTTGAGTAAGTTTTTTCATAATTCAGATTCCTAAATTAAACTTAGAACTATTGGTGATTATTATGGCACTGTAGTAACTAGTATATTACTTATTGATCTCGATTGGTAAATATGTTGATAGGTATTTGTCTGTTTGTTTGTTTCTTTCGTATGTTACGCAATATCTCACAAAAGCGAGGTTGAATCTGCTCCAAAATTGCATGTGCATTGATCATATCCCGGACCAGATGCTTATTGATTTTGGATGAATTATGTCGTATAATTACCCAGTTATTATTTAATTAGTGATGGGACACGTGGGTGTCGCTATTGCGGTCAGAGCGAAGGAATCGAAACCGCAGATCGATGAGTCGGCGGTCTCCGCCCGCTATCTAGATTTGAATATTACCCCACTCATTTTATTTATTCGTCTCCCTATTTTCAGAAACTTGAAATTTTATCATTAGCAAGAAACAACATAAAGAACCTCAATGGACTGGTACTTTTAAATATTTTTAAATATTTGCTTGTTACTTTTGATGCAAATGAATAAATACGTAATAATAAAGTTAAATACTTCCACTGCAAGTTGACTCAAATGAATGCCACAGACTCGCAACTGAAAGTTGGAAAAAAAATGGCGAAAAGTTTGTGAGATTTGTTTCTAGGAATTTTGGCAAAAATATTTTTTGGTCTGTGCTGTGTTTTTCAGATCCAGTTTTTTCAGTGTATTATTTTGTTATTTTTTTAGCACAATCGTTTGACTTTTTTTGATGTTTTTTTAATTAACATGGTAATTAAAATAGTTATGGTTACTTGAATATAGTTTATGAAATAACGTTTTTCAATGCATTTTTATATTTTTTATAGGAAGCCGTTGGCGACACATTAACCGAGTTATGGATTTCGTATAATTTCATTGAAAAATTAAAAGGCATCCATGTACTCAAAAAACTTCAGGTAAATATTGATAATTGATATTGTTGTGTGTAAAATATACTTTGTTGAAATGTTAACATTTCAATAAAAACTATTTTTCAGTATATTGTACTTTTTACTTGATTAAGTCGCCTTTCATGAGATTTGACATTTGTTTTCTGTTTTCTAACTAATTTTCTTGCTATGTGGTATTTACTATAACAAAGAGAGGCTGCTCCACAAAGACTCATTCATTTCTTGAGTTATATTATAATTGATTAATATTAAAGTATTAGGAATCTTAACTAAAGTCAGCAATCTTTCAATTCATAGATCTTGTACATGAGTAACAATTCAGTAAAAGATGCAAACGAATTCAAGAAGTTGGCTGACCTTCCCTGCCTTGTGGAACTTTTGTTTGAAGGTTAGTTTTTTTTGTAAATGTGTTTTTATGTAAAAAAATCAAGACTTCAAGGTTGAAGGATTTGTATCAGAACATTAAACTCAAGCCAGTTTGGTTAATACTAAATGGAAAATTTAATACAGTATATGAATAATAATAATTCTCTTGCAGCGGCTTGCAAAAACATTTACATAGAGATTACCAGGTCAACTAAACTACTTGGCAATTTTCTTAATTAAAGTCATCAGCAATGATTAAAAGTACTAATATTTTATCATTTAAATATCAATTCAGCGTTAAAGATTTCTCATTTTTATGAATTCACTATTTCCATTGAAAGACATTTATTGTAATTCAGTATTAATGAAATTTTCACTTGAAAACTTGTGGAGAAATTTGAAATCTCAATATTTGATTTGAATTGTCTTCCTTATCCAGGCAACCCATTAAAAGAAACTAAAGGTGATGACTACATGGACTTTGTCATGGGAGCATTACCAAAATTGAAAAAATTAGATAATCAGCCAATTGTAAGAAATGATGATGATGAGGACTAGCTTTGTGTTTTTTTTAATCTGTAAATATTTCATTTGTAATTGTATATTTCAATACATTATTTTTTGCACAATCGAGAGTTTTCGTGAAATGAATCCGGTCTTCAGATTCAAACTGAACCAAGTTCATCAAGGGTTTTGGGAAATATATGCCCATTCATAGGCGAACCGAACCCGCTTTGGGGTTCAGTAATTTGGACTTGAATCGCCATATTTGGTCCAACAAAATATTGAATTGCTGAATATCCTTATTGCTTTAATAATATTCAATGCCTGCCAAATCAAAAATGCGAAAAGACGGACAACTCATCAGGCCACTCTGTAGTGGAGTTGTCTCTTGTAAGTTGTCGGTGTAGTAGAGTTGTCCGCCTCCCATTTCAACTAGTTGGTTGGAAGAACAGAGAGACCAGACACACATGGACGCACTGTTGATCTACCGCAAGTACTTGACATGACAACACCGTACGGTTTAGGTTAGGATTTACATATTTATCGCCGGGGGGGGGAGTCGATAAGACGGCTTAACCTTATGGCGAACCACGGCCTATCGCCCTGTCACCATTCTATGCCGGATATGGGGTTAGTTATTTGTTCACTCAAGCATGAACTTGATGGTGGAGAAAGCCGTAACCGACCAGCGGTTACGTGAACCGCCTTACGGCGGCGAGGAATCCAGCAATCCTCTCGCACATATCTATCCCCGCATGGGATTCGATTATCGAACCTGCGAACCCGCGCAGAGTAATCAGAGGTGCGCTGGCAAGCGTATTCCAAGCGCTCAGCACGATGAGCCACACCGCCGCGTTAGTTATTTGTGATTGCTTGGAAATCTCTTCACCCTTGGCGGTTATTTATTAGCAGTATCTTCTTTTTCATTTGTATCAGGGAATTGAAATTCCTTTAATAATACTAACCACACACATTTAAGAATGCAGTAGCTAGTGGTTCCCAACCGCTGGTCCGCGAGAAATCTCGTTGTGTTGTTTTCCTGCCGTCCCAATCGCTTCACCACAGGCGAAGTTGCGTTGGTTTATTACGCAATTTCTCTTCCGCCGTCATATTGCTGTCTGATAAGTGCGGTATTAATTGCCCCGCGCCATCTAGACGCCGAGCAACCACACTTTTCGCTTTTTCTGTTTCGATTCATCGCGAAAGCGATCCGTCAAATCTCGCTAGATTCGGAAACCTAAAATCGGCAAGCGTGTTTTTTCTGTTCTGCATGATTTTATTTCAATTTTTTTGCCGGTCCGCCAGGGTAGAAAGGTTGGGAACCACTGAGTTAGACAACTATGAAGTGCACGGGTTCAAAATATATCGAACGCCCCACCAACGAGCAATTTTTTGGTACTCCAGAAGTATGTGCACCAAGATGGCGGACACCGGAACGTCGTATGTGTACCAGGTTAGGGTTAGGCCATAATTTTAGGTACAAATACTATACAGGAGTCACTTGGTTAGTCACCAAACTCGTAACAGAACTAAAATAAAAAAAAGTGAAATAAAATTATGGCCCAACTCTAATACCACGTGATACCACGTTATATCCGCTTAGAAATTGTATGAACCGACATGTTTTCATTTAATACTTTATTATTTTGCATGAAATGAATGATTTTGTGTGAACAGGTATTCTGCCATTAAGATACATTTCAATACGAGAAACCAATCAATACGGTTTTGTTCCACAAAAAGTTTTTGCATAATCTGCATAAATCCAATCGTCAGTCACAAAATCTTTGAAATGAAGTTCTGAACAATGGTGGCCCGAGGGGAATTTCTTTCGCTACAACAATCGGGCCATCATCCATTCATCTCCTGATAATACATGTGAAAACGCATCGTTGTGTCGTTTCTATACAATTGTGCAAGGGAAATTACCCGAAGTCAACAGTTACACTGAAGAACTTGTAACACTAGCGTAACTTATTCACTCAATAAGTTCGCCCATACCTATTGAATTAAAAAAAAGTGGAAATGCGATACACAATCGTTGATGAAAGTGGAGACTATTCGGAAAACATTTGAATGGATCATTCGAATATTAACAGAAGATATTCCATACGTTTGCATAATGGCGCGCACGGTTAACGCTTCATTCAAATAGGGATAGACAATAAACATGAAAATTTAAAACATGCACGATACGATTACTATCCTTCATTACATTTTAACTCTCATACAGTGGACTTGTGATCTATAGGTAGAGATTCGCACTCTACGTGGCGGATTCGATACGTGGATGATAGTAAATATGAATAACACATTCGCCAACGAATCTGAATGTTATACGCACTACAATAGTAAAGAGCATGGACAGTGGCAGGCAGCAGTTATATTGACTATTTTCCTGTTTGCCTTTGGTGTTTACTTATTAACAGTAACATTGAATTACGAATGGAAAGTGATGAAAGAGAATTGGGAAATCGCAAGGAGAGCCCGCGAAAAAAGACGTTATCACTTCATAAAAAAGGATGTAGTTGGAGACACATCAAGATATTTGATAATTGTGTCAGAAATTATTGTAATCATTCTGCAATGTTTGAATGCTATGGAGCTGCATTTTTCTTGTGGTGAAATTGAAATTTGTAACCCACTGCGAATTGTTAGGTACACTCTGTCTGCATCGTGTACTGGGATCATATTTTTTATTCTTTGGATGCGACAGTTTGAACTTTATAAACAAGAAGAATACAAACCTGTATGCAACAAAGTGGTAACTGCGTTGAGTCGTTTCATTTTAGTTATATTGATATTAGGTAACATAATATTTCTGGTTTTGTTCGTGACAAGAGTATATCAAACTTCTTCTATTGGATGCGTTCTGATAGATTTCCAGGTATCCCAAATAGAATCGGGAGGATTCCTATTCGCAACCTCAGTTACATTCTTATTTATCTGGCTAGGTCTATTTGTGTATCCGTTAATCAAATTCAAGAATAAAAAGGATCATGTTATGGCAAATTTAAGAATATTGAGAAGAACTCTCAAGCGAACTGTAATCGTTGCTGTAATTTGCATTCTTGTCTTTGGCCTTATTGCTTTGATTTTAGTTGTCACTTATGAGTCATTGCTCGATATTGTGGAGACACTTTTGCTCGACTTCAACATTATAATATTTATATTTTGCGTAATAAATCTGTACGATGACAGTAAACATAGGTTATTTCCATGTTTCAAGTATGTATCTTTAGTACAAGGTACTCTCATAGACACCAGAGATATTTCGTGATCGTTCCATTTTTTTTATCGAACATTATATATTGTACATTATTTTTACTTCCTTATAATATAACTCGTTTATGCTAACAACAACGTCATTTACCACCATAATTTTCCAAAATTCGTTGGGTTATAGTGGTGACTAATTTTATATTTTTTAAATCGTGATATTTAACATCAGATATTCATTCAAATTGCGTTATGACTCGCTTGATTGTGAAAGCCCTTATTTAAAAAAAAGTCACATTAAGAATTAGTTCCTAGCTTTTCCTGCTTTTTTTGTAACTTGAATCAGCAGGTTATGTCCATTTACTTTTTTGTATTGGAATTTGACTTAAAAAAGCATACATAGAAATCTTGTTGTTCATAAAAATAAATGATTCGTTCTCCCAATCATATTCCTAAACTCAGGGTATGCATTGAATATCACCGGAGAATAAGAAAAACCTTCAAGTTGAAACCAAATGTCATTTAGTAATTTTACTCTTACTTCAAAAATATAATTGTTAATAATGATCTCATAATTGACCTGCAAAATTTATATTTATAATAAAATGCATATGAATATGATTGTTTTTGACGTTTGTGTGACGTGATGTCGATAATAATAAATAAATTATTATTCAACTTTAAGTGGCGAGATACCAAGAGATACTCTTTTCTAGAAAGTTGAAGCAAGGGTAAAATAATTAGGGGATAAGCACGCGAACAGGAGAACGATTTTTTCGTATAAAATGGCGTAATATCCTATCCAATCATCAATCGTTGAGATGATTTTGTTATGATTTTGAGATGATTTTGTTTGATGATTAATGTTAGCTATATTAATGGAAGATACCGACCGCAATATGGCACTATAGCATATTGAAAGACGGCAATCCTGGCAATGCTTAATTTCGTATAAAAATATTATAAAAATAGGAGGTTTCTACCAAGTCCTGTTTCGCATTGTGGCATAGTTAATCTTTGCGCAACATTATTACTAGTTTTTGAATTTATTAATGAATTAATTGTATACCAAGTTTTTTTGGGTCATTTATATTTTTCAAAGCGTTTCGCAAAATATATCTCTTTGCTTTATTTTTCAAGTGGCATAATTTGTTTCGCGTATCTCTTATAGTGCTGTTTTTGTTCAATGGATCCGTTAATAAAGTGCGTTTTATGCAATTTATCTCTTATTTTAGTTGAGCGCAAGATTCCAGCTGAAGGTCGAGGGTCGAACATTCCAAAATGCTTGAACAGAAAAATATTTTTTTTCTTGCGCATTTCAAAACCAGTTTACTCGATATGCACGGTCAACATAGCAAATAAGGGATTCAATGTTCAACTCGACGAAACGTGTCGACGAAAATTGGACCCCGAGACGCTGGGACTGCGTCACAGCTCATCTGTGCGAGAGGACAAAACGTGTGATCTGCACGTTCGGAAGCCCATATTGCTGGGAGAAGTTTATCTAAAATGCATTGCACTTAGAATAAATATACCCATGACCATTCAGCATCTCAGACTTTTGCCATAAAAGCAACATATATATGATGATAAGTGAATAAAAACAATATATTGTTGGAATATATATAAAAAAATGTCACATACACATCTCAATATGGCAGGCTTTCAACGCAGCAATAGAAGGTGCGGAAGCGCCATAATTTGAAGTTTATTGTGGCGATTATTCGAAGGCGGAAATATTGCGACCGCGCGCTACCAAAAAAGTCTATATTTGGCCTGCAAGTACATAAAGTTTGCCGACCACTGGTCTACAGTTTTAATTTTAGAGTACCAGCACATGTCTGCTTGGAATTAGCATAAGCTGAATGTCCTCTACGGTCATTGAATGTTTGTATGTTGATCTCTTTAAAAAACCATTATCCACAGACCGCAATACCTTTCCATGGATTTTTTTTATTTTTTATTTTTCACTTTGGGAATGTTCTGTTTCATACTGCAGCCGGACTTGAACATCAGCAGCCAAGTTCTGGAAAGACCGGACCCCGGTCCATGTACCGGTGCGCGCCCGCAGGGTGTGATTGAATACGGTTGCATTGATATGTTGCAACTCGTAGTATGAAATATCTATTTTATCTTTATTTTGAACAAAGAAAGAAAATTTAAGCGCCACAAATTCGGACTTCCGGGGACATGAGCAACTTCAAGTTACAACAGCAATGAATGGTGAAATGAAATGTCAATATAATAACACCAAATGATAGGGATTGTTTATAACCATAAAGCTTTTTTCACGAAGCAAAATTGAAGACATCAGCAAGGTTTATAAAATAGCATCATAATACGCAATATACCGCGACAACCGACAAACTAACGCCCAAATACGGGTGATCTGGCTAAGTCAACCTTTTTGTGAATAGCCCGGTACATCCGCTGGGGGTCTCATTCGCATGTAAAAGACACTGATGCAGTCCGGTGTCCTGCTCGGATGCGTTGTTGGAAAAGTCTAGCCTACGATTAGCCGGATGACACGCGTAGTTGAAACACACTTCGGACATAGTCCCTACAACCCTTTTTTACAAATGAAAACGCAAAAGCTGACTATGATCAATATTTATAATTGTTAATTGTTCCAGCAATTTTTTTTTGCTGTCCTAAATGTATAGACGATGCCATTAGTTATAACAAACTATTTCCTAACTTACATTTTTGATAGGTTATGCGATTACTGGGTTACATTTTTGATATGTTTAGCATTGTATAACATCAATTACATATATTAGATATAATTTAGTAGGCATTAGCATTTTAGTAAGCAATTGTTTCTGGCATGCTGAATTTAAGACAGCCGGATAAGTACAAGGGAACTGCGCTCCAGCCACCACCGATTGTAACAAGCTTGTTGTGAACTCGTAGAATGTCTTCTGCAGTGGGATGTGGATTACGACTATGTACCCATATATACTGTGGACCTGAAAAGATAGAATTGGAGAATCATTTATGATGTTAAATTGTCAAGGAAGAATAATCGATATTAATAAAATCGCTCGATTTAAAATGGCAACAACTGCTGCCTTTCCCAAATTAACCTTGAAAGCAAACCTTCTTCAATCAAAGCGATCATGAAATTATCAGTTTTGATTTCATCAACGGTAAACGGGATTTTTACCTTACTATTTTGTACAATTTGATGAGTGTTTCCAGGAGGTTCGAGTATCCATGTCTATTTCTGTGTCAATGTCTAGGAAACGCTCAACGAATCTTTTTAATAATATGATACTAATATTTGATTGTATTGCAGCTGAAATGTTTAGTTGAAATCAATACTGACCTTCTCCACCACACTGCAAGCACATGTAATAATGCTCATAATCTGTGAAGCAACTCATCGGATGCTCGTTAATGTAATGAATCTCTGCAAAACAAATTGAAGAAAGTATATTTATTGATCAGTTCTGTCACCATCTTCCTCTATGCATTCACAGCACATTCACTTCCTCTATGCACAGATATCTAGTAGTAAGATTGTAGCTCAATAATACGTTTGTTCATTAAGAGTTCATTGAGTTTTTTTTTTACCTTTCGCGCTATCTTGTTTTTTAAAGTAATGCTTATCATCAAAAACAGTGCAAATTAGGCGAACTGAAGAATGTCTGTAAATTTCCGAGTCAATCCGAAAAAGACAACTAAAGGGTATACATCGTATTGTGGAAGATAAATTCATGTCACTTGAAGAAGTAGAGAAAGTTAAAGAACTATCCTTGGTATATTCATTTTGAGTTACATGTTTTTGCTAGGATTGCCTTATTATATAAATTTGCTACGTGGTTGTTTTTTGAGTGCATCTGCTTTGATCAATTTTTTATATGGAATAATTTATAGCAATGTGAATCATAGTGAAAATAAAAGTTTATAATAAAAATCACGAGAATTTACCTTCCAAAGCATGTTCACCTGCTCCGTTAGGTTTTCCCCAATAAACCACAAAAATTCTGCAAAAAAAGGATCATTTGTTAGAAAAGTTCAAATTACTTTAAATTTAACAAGTAATTTTTTTTTACAAACCAAAATTTGGGTCGCGTCTGGTGATTGAAGTTCCATTGTCATACCAACGGAATGGTATGATTTCGTTAAGTGACATTGTACCTCTGCATAGGAAAAAAACATGTTAAACGTAAGCACTTACTAAGAAACTGAAAATTTCATTAGTACCTTCTTTATTTCAGTCGTGAAACATTTATTTACAAAAGTTATATCGTATGCCACTCCCATTATTTCTTATCGAATATCCGGTTTAGCAATTCTCTGCGTCTGCAGAATTCATTCTACTATTATTTGTTACACCAGTTTGTCGGCTGTTGAAACTTTTATAAATCTTAAACTCAGAAAATATCGGACATATTTCCACTGAAAAAAGCGATAGATTTATAGTCCCGATAGGGATATCTTTGACTCAATATTAGGGTGCAAACATAACTCAATCCGTAACCAACACGTTACGAACCGAGAAAAAAAAGCAAAAATACGTCGGTATGTTCCATTTTGGATCTTAAAGTCCCCATTTCAAAAGTTTACCATCTACATTGTCATAATCTATTTGCTATTGTCAGTTGTTAACGCCGCACATTCACGGTTGACAAACTTATTCAACTTCTATAATCCCGAATAGGGCAGTGAATACTGAAACCGATTAGTAGGTAACTATTTTATAATAAATTATTTATGTATATCAAAATCATTTACTTTTCCACTGATGAAATACCCTGGAATTCAGCAAAAATTCCGTCGGCAGTTTCTTTGAAATATTTGATCACATAACATGGCACATTGCGTTCAACTGGATCATTGGTGTTTAGAATTTGATACCAAGAATCAGGAAGCTGCAAATGTAGTGATACAAATATTTATAGAAGAAGCTGGAAAATTCTCTGAAGGCTACGTGGTTAAATCCTTTCAATTTTCTCAGTATAGAATATATACATTCCTTAAATAGATATATATGTATACGCAGGCTTGTCCATGGGACATATTTTTCTGTCCCATCCCATCCCATAGCAATTATGCCTGTCCCATCACATCCCATGAGATTCCCATTAGAATAAAATTCAATAAAAGTTGTTAAATTTAGGTTTAGCGTCTACTAAATATGACTACAAGTACGATAAGACCTGCAAAACTATAACATGCATAACCATTATACATGTCTCATCAGCCCCTTCACGAAGTATATTTTTAATGCTGAATATATTTTGCTCTTTATAACTAACAAGAGAGCTCAATTATATGGACACGAAATCCATAATGAAATGTTTTACCATCATTTCGACGAAAATCATACGATTTTCGTGTCCCACGTGTCCATGGGAAATACAAATGTGTGCTCATGGACAAGCCTGCGTATACGTACGTGGCGTAATTTAAACCCCCTTTATCGTCAAGTATTTGTTTTTTCAACTCAATTCAATAATTTTTATGATTGCTCACCATATTATAATTGACTTTCTCAGACACAGGCAATACACAATTTTCGTTTTCACGACGGTATCCTGGTTTTCCAACAGCCGGGTTGAACAACAAGCAAACGATCAAAATAAAGACACACCTTGAGAAGATCATTGTTACTCGTTCGACAGCCTTAAACGGAATGAGAAAATCTGCCCTGATAAAGCAATATTGAATCGAGGATGTCGGGAAAAAGTTCACTTTCTACGTTTTCCTCACGTGCTACTTACATGCAGTGCATTGCACACGTTTCTATCGCATGTTTAGTCTATGGTATGCGTATGCAATAACAAAGTGCAGACGTTACGAGATTTTCTGTTTTTGAATAAGATCAATCTTGTCAATTCGAAGTCACGATAGAACAAGGAGCGATGCTCAAAGATATGAAATCAAATAAACCTAAAATACATGCACGCAAATCACTACCTTCAAAGTGCCTAACTTCGTATGAAGGCCCCAATTTCAAGGTAACCTCACCATCTTCAATTCGGTGTCAAATTTAACAATAATACATTTATTTTATAGTATTTGTCTGTTTAAACGCCAGAAATTTACACAAATGAGGCGCGCGGTCTCATCGTCTCACCTTAATTTGTTAACTTTTAGATGCAATCGGCAGGTCAAAAAGTTCTCCAATGTATGTTAATATGTCTTTGTCTGCTCGCAATGAGTAAGTTAAAAGAACAAGACCCACTTACCAAGAACTAATGTGTTCTGTTTTGCTGTTACTGAGTTAACAAAACAAAATACATATATATTTCAATTTCAATATGTGCATTGGTATCAGGGTGAAAGGTCATCAATCTTTTTAAATATTTATTAGCATGTCTGCATATATGTTGTTCATTGCATGGTTTCTAATATTTCAATTTATAATATCATACCTATAATTTATTTACAGTCAAAGATTGGACTATGGTGAAGTACTAGGACATAGGCAGCTTCGGTATACATTTTGACAACATTTATGTAAATGCCAACTGGGCCATTGCAGACCATCCAAAATTCTAGAGATGCAGAAATATTTTACAAAAAAGGATATTCAAGATTTAGAAGTCGAATAGTAAATATACAACCAATGGAAAATTAAGAATCAGCTGCTTGAAATATATATGTCATATTTTATAATGCTAAATCGATTCATCTTTCGCCGCCGCAAGTGCTCCGATCACTTCCATCCTCAAAAATAGCACAGTTTTAAACACCTTAGAAGTCGTCAGACATTACTCCTCAGATTCATGTTGATCAACCACAAATATTAATTATCAGTTAACCAACAAACTGTTCATGAGTCCAACAGTAATATGATCACAAGAAGAGCTGTAATTATTCAACTCGAGCACATGCTTCGTTGAGAAATCTGGATTTTTTATCATGTTAATGCAACTAAATAAATGTTCTCAATCACACAATATTGAATCTTTGTCAGTTAATAGCCCATCAAGAAGTAAGCAATTCCGAGTAAGTGTGTTATTTGAGTTATTGTCATGACGTGATCATGGATACAAATCTGGAACAATTGTCATGGCACCGCGAGGGGCTAAGCAAACAAGCGCTTCCATAGCGTGACTTCGCTTGTAATTAGAAAAAATAATGCGTTCAAGTATAGATTAGAAAACTTCTTAGTTTTGAATTATGTTTCATCATGACCAGTGTTAAATGGCTGAATCCAACTCTTCGTAAACTTGAGGCATCACGTTTTTTTAATGTGTGAAGGCTGTGAGTCTACTATACTATAAATAGCATCTCCGAACTCTGTCAGGCTACAAAAATTCTGCTCATTGTTTAGGGATTTAGACTGAAACCCTGGGCATCCAACCAGCAACGTTCAGATGTAATGCAGATAACAGATTCGCAAACAGCTCATTCTTTTTACCAATTTTGAGCTTTTAGCTGTCTCTGCAAAGACATGATCGCCATTTAACCAAGTGTAGGTCATAGGTACGGATCCAAACAAGAACTCAAAATTGCCTCGGTTCAGGCCTGTAAAATACTTGAAATTTGAAATAACTTTCTGTTACCGTGTCCCGACTTAACTTTCATTTGTTCTCCAGCAAAGCAGGTACGAATTGCAACCGCGCGAATTTTCAGGTCGTGATTCGTGAGACGAGGCCCTGAAAAACGCCTAGAAAATGAGTTTCGTAGCGCACATCTGGGAACTGTATAAATTCATTAGTTTTGTATGAAAATAAACATACTGAACGCATTGCAGCTTGTTTCAATTTGCATTCTTGTCTTTGGCCTTATTTCTTTGATTTTGGTTGTCACTTATAAGTCATTGCTCGATATTGTGGAGACACTTTTTCTCGACTTCAACATTATAATATTTATTTGTTGCGTAATAAATCTGTACGATGACAGTAAACATAGGTTATTTCCATGTTTCAAGTATGTATCTTTAGTACAAGGTACTCTCATAGACACTAGAGATATTTCGTGATCGTTCCATTTTTTTCATCGAACAATATATTGTACATTATTTTTACCTCCTTATAATATGACTCGTTTATGCTATCAACAACGTCATTTGCTTCCATAGTTTTCCAAAATTTGTTGGGTTATAGTGATGCCTAATTTTATATTTTTTAAATCGTGATATTAAACATCAGATATTATTTTCAAATTGCGTTATGACTCGCTTGATTGTGAAAGCACAAAAATAAGTCACATTAAGAATTAGTTCCTAGCTTTTCCTGCATTTTTTGCAACTTGAATCAGCAGGTTATGTCTATTTACTTTTTTGTATTTGAATTTGACTTAAAAAAGCATACATAGAAATCTTGTTGTTCATAAAAATAAATGATTCGTTCTCCCAATCATATTCCTAAACTTAGGGTATGCATTGAATATCACCAGAGAATCAAAAAAACCTTCAGGTTGAAACCAAATGTCATTTAGTAATTTTATGAGATTTGGGCCACTCAATTTTCTTTGGACTCTGTAGCAAATATTAAATTTGCATCGCTAAGCATGTACACTTAGTTCGAAAATATAATTGTTAATAATGATCTCATAATTGACCTGCAAAATTTATATTTATATTAAAATGCATATGAATATGATTGTTTTTGACATCTGTGTGACGTGATGTCGATAATAATAAATAAATTATTATTCAACAATAAGTGGCGAGATACCAAGAGATACTCTTTTATAGAAAGTTGAAGCAAGGGTAAAAAATTAGGGGATAAGCACGCGGACAGGAGTACGATTTTTTCATATAAAATGGCATAATTTCCTATCCAATCATCAATCGTTAAGATGATTTTTAATGTTAGCTATATTCATGGAAGATGCCGCCGCAATAGGGCACTATAGCATATTGAAAGACGGCAATTCTGGCAATGATTAATTTCGTATAAAAATATTATAGAAATAGGAGGTTTCTACCAAGTCCTGTTTTGCATTGATGGCATAGTTAATCTTTGCGCAACATTATTACTAGTTTTTGAATTTATTAATGAATTAGTTGTATACCAAGTCTTTTTTGGGGTCATTTATATTTTCTTCAAAGCGTTTCGCAAAATATATCTCTTTGGCTTTCTTTTTCAAGTGGCATAATTTGTTTGCGTATCTCTTATAGTGCTGTTTTTGTTCAATGGATCCGATAATAAAGTGCGTTTTATGCAATTTATCTCCTATTTTGGTTGAGCGCAAGATGCCAGCTGAAGGTCGAGGGTCGAACATTCCAAAATGCTTGAACAGCAAAATATTTTTCCTTCTTACGCATTACAAAACCATTTTGCTCGATATGCACGGTCAGCATCGCAGATAATGGATTCAATGTTCAACTCGACGAAACGTGTCGACGAAAATTCGACCCCGAGAAGCTGGGACTGCGTCACAGATCATCTGTGCGACAGAACAAAACGTGTAATCTGCACGTTCGGAAGCTCATATTGCTGGGAGAAGCTTCATCTAAAATGCATTGCACTTAGAATAAATATGCCCATGCCCAGTCAGCATCTCAGACTTTTGCCATAAAAGCAACATATATATGATGATAAGTGAATAAAAACAATATATTGTTGGAATATATATAAAAAATGTCACATACACATCTCAATATGGCAGGCTTTAACGCAGCAATAGAAGGTGCGAAATCGCCATAATTTGAAGTTTATTGTGGCGATTATTCGAAGCGGAAATATTGCGACCGCGCGCTACCAAAAAAGTCTATATTTGGCCTGCAATACATAAAGTTTGCCGACCACGGACCACTGGTCTACAGTTTTAATTTCAGAGTACCAGCACATGTCTGCTTGAAATTAGCATAAGCTGAATGTCCTCTACGGTCATTGAACGTTTGTATGTTGATCGCTTTAAAAAACCATTATCCGCAGACCGCAATACCTTCCCATGGATTTTTGGACACGTTTAGTGGCCATAACGATCGTTTCAAAATTTTGTTGTTATTGTTATTTTCTTTCGTCATTACCATTAAAAAATCGCTTTTCTCTTCGAATACTGGACCAATTGCTTTGGAATTTTCAGTGGTTCAAGATTGATTTTTTTGCCAGAAGGCTATTACTTTCATTTATTCCTTAATTTTCTATGAATTAATTTTTAATTATGGGAACACGGTTTTTAATCCGCCAAGCGTGACGACTGACTGTGAAAATTCTTGCGACTGGGAACCCGGAACTTTTTGAGGGTACGGTACCGGTAACGTCAAAGGTAAACCCTGTTTCGCTCTAGTCCACGTGTCCATATATTTGAGCGTTGCTCTCTTGTTTTCATTGTTTTTACACTTTAGGAATGTTCTGTTTCATACTACAGCCGGACTTGAACATCAGCAGACAAGTTCTGGAAAGACCGGACATCGGTCTATGTACCGGTGCGCGCCCGCAGGGTATGATCGAATACGGTTGCATTGCTATGTTGCAACGCGTAGTATGAAATATCTATTTCATCTTTTATTTTGAACAAAGAAAGAAAATTTAATCGCCACAAATTCGGATTTCCGGGGACATGAGTAACTTCAAGTTACAACAGCAATGAATGGTGAAATGAAATGTCAATATAATAACACCAAATGATAGGGATTGTTTATAACCATAAAGCTTTTTTCACGAAGCAAAATAGAAGACATCAGCAAAGTTTATAAAATAGCATCATCATACGCAATATACCGCGTCAACCGACAAACGAACGCCCCAAATACGGGTGATACGCTTGACTGGCTAAGTCAATCTTTTTTGTGAATAGCCCAGTACAGTACATCCGTTGGGGGTCTCATTCGCATGTAAAAGACACTGATGCAGAATCCGGTGTTCTACTCGGATACGTTGTTGGAAAAGTCTAGCCTACGATTAGCCGGATGAGACGCGTAGATGAAACACACTTCGGACAACCCTTTTTTGGAAATGAAAACGCAAAAGCTGACTATGATTAATATTTATAATTGGTAAATGTTCCAGCAATTTTATTCTGCTGTCCTAAAGTTATAGACGATGCCATTAGTTATAACAAACTTATTTCCTAACTTACATTTTTGAATAGGTTATGCGATTACTGGGTTACATTTTTGATATGTTTAGCATTGTATAACATCAATTACATATATTAGATATAATATTTAGTAGGCATTAGCATTTTAGTAAGCAATTGTTTCTGGCATGCTGGATTTATGACAGCCGGATAAGTACAAGGGAACTGCGCTCCAGCCACCACCGATTGTAACAAGCTTCTTGTGAACTCGTAGAATGTCTTCTGCAGTGGGATGTGGATTACGACTATGTACCCATATATACTGTGGACCTGAAAAGAGAGAATTGGAGAAGCATTTATGAAGCTACATTGTCAAGGAAGAATAATCGACATTAATAAAATCGCTCGATTTAAAATGGCAACAACTGCTGCCCTTCCCAAATTAACCTTGAAAGCAAACCTGCTTCCTTCTTCAATCAAAGCGATCATGAAATTATCAGTTTTGATTTCATCAACGGTAAACGGGATTTTTACCTTACTATTTTGTACAATTTGATGAGTGTTTCCAGGAGGTTCGAGTTCTATGTCTATTTCTGTGTCAATGTCTAGGAAACGCTCAACGAATCTTTTTAATAATATGATACTAATATTTGATTGTATTGCAGCTGAAATGTTTAGTTGAAATCAATACTGACCTTCTCCACCACACTGCAAGCACATGTAATAATGCTCATAATCTGTGAAGCAACTCATCGGATGCTCGTTAATGTAATGAATCTCTGCAAAACAAATTGAAGAAAGTATATTTATTGATCAGTTCTGTCACCATCTTCCTCTATGCACAGATATCTAGTAGTAAGATTGTAGCTCAATAATACGTTTGTTCATTAAGAGTTCATTGAGTTTTTTTTACCTTTCGCGCTATCTTGTTTTTTAAAGTAATGCTTATCATCAAAAACAGTGCAAATTAGGCGAACTGAAGAATGTCTGTAAATTTCCGAGTCAATCCGAAAAAGACAACTAAAGGGTATACATCGTATTGTGGAAGATAAATTCATGTCACTTGAAGAAGTAGAGAAAGTTAAAGAACTATCTTTGGTATATTCATTTTGAGTTACATGTTTTTGCTAGGATTGCCTTATGATATAAATTTGCTACGTGGTTGTTTTTTGAGTGCATCTGCTTTGATCAATTTTTTATATGGAATAATTTGTAGCAATGTGAATCATAGTGAAAATAAAAGTTTATAATAAAAATCACGAGAATTTACCTTCCAAAGCATGTTCACCTGCTCCGTTAGGTTTTCCCCAATAAACCACAAAAATTCTGCAAAAAAATGATCATTTGTTAGAAAAGTTCAAATTACTTTAAATTTAACAAGTAATTTTTTTTTACAAACCAAAATTTGGGTCGCGTCTGGTGATTGAAGTTCCATTGTCATACCAACGGAATGGTATGATTTCGTTAAGTGACATTGTACCTCTGCATAGGAAAAAAACATGTTAAACGTAAGCACTTACTAAGAAACTGAAAATTTCATTAGTACCTTCTTTATTTCAGTCGTGAAACATTTATTTACAAAAGTTATATCGTATGCCACTCCCATTATTTCTTATCGAATATTCGGTTTAGCAATTCTCTGCGTCTGCAGAATTCATTCTACTATTATTTGTTACACCAGTTTGTCGGCTGTTGAAACTTTTATAAATCTTAAACTCAGAAAATATCGGACATATTTCCACTGAAAAAGCGATAGATTTATAGTCCCGATAGGGATATCTTTGACTCAATATTAGGGTGCAAACATAACTCAATCCGTAACCAACACGTTACTAACCGAGAAAAAAAAGCAAAAATACGTCGGTATGTTCCATTTTGGATCTTAAAGTCCCCATTTCAAAAGTTTACCTATCTCCATTGTCATAATCTATTTGCTATTGTCAGTTGTTAACGCCGCACATTCACGGTTGACAAACTTATTCAACTTCTATAATCCCGAATAGGGCAGTGAATACTGAAACCGATTAGTAGGTAACTATTTTATAATAAATTATTTATGTATATCAAAATCATTTACTTTTCCACTGATGAAATACCCTGGAATTCAGCAAAAATTCCGTCGGCAGTTTCTTTGAAATATTTGATCACATAACATGGCACATTGCGTTCAACTGGATCATTGGTGTTTAGAATTTGATACCAAGAATCAGGAAGCTGCAAATGTAGTGATACAAATATTTATAGAAGAAGCTGGAAATTCTCTGAAGGCTACGTGGTTAAATCCTTTCAATTTTCTCAGTATAGAATATATACATTCTTAAATAGATATATATGTATACGCAGGCTTGTCCATGGGACATATTTTTCTGTCCCCATCCCATCCCATAGCAATTATGCCTGTCCCATCACATCCCATGAGATTCCCATTAGAATAAAATTCAATAAAAGTTGTTAAATTTAGGTTTAGCGTCTACTAAATATGACTACAAGTACGATAAGACATGCAAAACTATAACATGCATAACTATTATACATGTGTCATCAGCCCCTTCACGAAGTATATTTTTAATGCTGAATATATTTTGCTCTTTATAACTAACAAGAGAGCTATGCTCAATTATATGGACACGAAATCCATAATGAAATGTTTTACCATCATTTCGACGAAAATCATTTTCGTGTCCCACGTGTCCATGGGAAATACAAATGTGTGCTCTCCCATCCCATGGGACGTTTCCCATGGACAAGCCTGCGTATACGTACGTGGCGTAATTTAAACCCCTTTATCGTCAAGTATTTGTTTTTTCAACTCAATTCAATAATTTTTATGATTGCTCACCATATTATAATTGACTTTCTCAGACACAGGCAATGCACAATTTTCGTTTTCACGACGGTATCCTGGTTTTCCAACAGCCGGGTTGAACAACAAGCAAACGATCAAAATAAAGACACACCTTGAAAAGATCATTGTTACTCGTTCGACAGCCTTAAACGGAATGAGAAAATCTGCCCTGATAAAGCAATATTGAATCGGGGATGTCGGGAAAAGGAAGTTTACTTTCCTACGTTTTCCTCACGTGCTACTTACATGCAGTGCATTGCACACGTTTCTATCGCATGTTTAGTCTATGGTATGCGTATGCAATAACAAAGTGCAGACGTTACGAGATTTTCTGTTTTTGAATAAGATCAATCTTGTCCATTCGTGCAAAGACAAGTCACGATAGAACAAGGAGCGATGCTCAAAGATATGAAATCAAATAAACCTAAAATACATGCACGCAAATCACTACCTTCAGAGTGCCTAACTTCGTATGAAGGCCCCAATTTCAAGGTAACCTCACCATCTTCAATTCGGTGTCAATTTAACTAATAATACATTTATTCTATAGTATTTGTCTGTTTAAACGCCAGAAATTTACACAAATGAGGCGCGCGGTCTCATCGTCTCACCTTAATTTGTTAAATTTTAGATGCAATCGGCAGGTCAAAAAGTTCTCCAATGTATGTTAATATGTCTTTGTCTGCTCGCAATGAGTAAGTTAAAAGAACAAGACCCACTTACCAAGAACTAATGTGTTCTGTTTTGCTGTTACTGAGTTAACAAAACAAAATACATATATATTTCAATATGTGCATTGGTATCAGGGTGAAATGTCATCAATCTTTTTTAATATTTATTAGCATGTCTGCATATATGTTGCTCATTGCATGGTTTCTAATATTTCAATTTATAATATCATTCCTATAATTTATTTACAGTCAAAGATTGGACTATGGTGAAGTACTAGGACATAGGCAGCTTCGGTATACATTTTGACAACATTTATGTAAATGCCAACTGGGCCATTTCAGACCATCCAAAATTCTAGAGATGCAGAAAGATTTTACAAAAAAGGATATTCAAGATTTAGAAGTCGAATAGTAAATATACAACCAATGGAAAATTAAGAATCAGCTGCTTGAAATATATATGTCATATTTTATAATGCTAAATCGATTCATCTTGTCGCCGCCGCAAGTTCTCCGATCACTTCCATCCTCAAAAATAGCACAGTTTTAAACAACTTAGAAGTCGTCAGACATTACTCCTCAGATTCATGTTGATCAACCACAAATATTAATTATCAGTTAACCAACAAACTGTTCATGAGTCCGACAGTAATATGATCACAAGAAGAGCTGTAATTATTCAACTCGAGCACATGTTTCGTGAGAAATCTGGATTTTTTATCATGTTAATGCAACTACAAAATGTTCTCAATCACACAATATTGAATCTTTGTCAGTTAATAGCCCATCACGAAGTAAGCAATTCCGAGTAAGTGTGTTATTTGAGTTATTGTCATGACGTGATCATGGATACAAATCTGGAACAATTGTCATGGCACCGCGAGGGGCTAAGCAAACAAGCGCTTCCGTAGTGACTTCGCTTGTAATTAGAAAAAATAATGCGTTCAAGTATAGATTAGAAAACTTCTTAGTTTTGAATTATGTTTCATCATGATCAGTGTTAAATGGCTGAATCCAACTCTTCGTAAACTTGAGGCATCACGTTTTTTTAATGTGTGAAGGCTGTGAGTCTACTATACTATAAACAGAATCTCCAACTCTGTCAGGCTACAAAAATTCTGCTCATTGTTTAGGGATTTAGACTGAAACCCTGGGCATCCAACCAGCAACGTTCAGATGTAATGCAGATAACAGATTCGCAAACAGCTCATTCTTTTTACCAATTTTGAGCTTTTAGCTGTCTCTGCAAAGACATGATCGCCATTTAACCAAGTGTAGGTCATAGGTACGGATCTAAACAAGAACTCAAAATTGCCTCGGTTCAGGCCTGTAAAATACTTGAAATTTGAAATAACTTTCTGTTACCGTGTCCCGACTAAACTTTCATTTGTTCTCGCAGGAAAGCAGGTACGAATTGCAACCGCGCGAACTTCAGGTCGTGATCGTGAGACGAGGCCCTGAAAAACGCCTAGAAAATGAGTTTCGTAGCGCACATCTGGGAACTATATAAATTCATTAGTTTTGTATGAAAATAAACATACTGAACGCATTGCAGCTTGTTTCAATTTGCATTTTGTCTTTGGCCTTTTTCTTTGATTTTGGTTGTCACTTATGAAGTCATTGCTCGATATTGTGGAGACACTTTTTCTCGACTTCAACATTATAATATTTATTTGTTGCGTAATAAATCTGTACGATAACAGTGCACATAGGTTATTTCCATGTTTCAAGTATGTATCTTTAGTACAAGGTACTCTCATAGACACTAGAGATATTTCGTGATCGTTCCATTTTTTCATCGAACATTATATGTTGTACATATTTTTACCTCCTTATAATATGACTCGTTTATGCTATCAACAACGTCATTTGCTTCCATAATTTTCCAAAATTTGTTGGGTTATAGTGATGCCTAATTTTATATTTTTTAAATCGTGATATTAAACATCAGATATTATTCAAATTGCGTTATGACTCGCTTGATTGTGAAAGCACATTTAAAAAAATCACATTAAGAATTAGTTCCTAGCTTTTCCTGCATTTTTTGCAACTTGAATCAGCAGGTTATGTCTATTTACTTTTTTTGTATTTGAATTTGACTTAAAAAAGCATACATAGAAATCTTGTTGTTCATAAAAATGAATGATTCGTTCTCCCAATCATATTCCTAAACTAGGGTATGCATTGAATATCACCAGAGAATCAAAAAAACCTTCAAGTTGAAACCAAATGTCATTTAGTAATTTTATGAGATTTGGGCCACTCAATTTTCTTTGGACTCTGTAGCAAATATTAAATTTGCATCGCTAAGCATGTACACTTAGTTCGAAAATATAATTGTTAATAATGATCTCATAATTGACCTGCAAAATTTATATTTATTTTAAAATGCATATGAATATGATTGTTTTTGACGTCTGTGTGACGTGATGTCGATAATAATAAATAAATTATTATTCAACAATAAGTGGCGAGATACCAAGAGATACTCTTTTATAGAAAGTTGAAGCAAGGGTAAAATAATTAGGGGATAAGCACGCGAACAGGAGAACGATTTTTTCGTATAAAGTGGCATAATATCCTATCCAATCATCAATCGTTGAGATGATTTTGTTTGATGATTAATGTTAGCTATATTAATGGAAGATACCGACCGCAATATGGCACTATAGCATATTGAAAGACGGCAATCCTGGCAATGCTTAATTTCGTATAAAAATATTATAAAAATAGGAGGTTTCTACCAAGTCCTGTTTCGCATTGGTGGCATAGTTAATCTTTGCGCAACATTATTACTAGTTTTTGAATTTATTAATGAATTAATTGTATACCAAGTTTTTTTTGGGTCATTTATATATTTTTCAAAGCGTTTCGCAAAATATATCTCTTTGCCTTTATTTTTCAAGTGGCATAATTTGTTCGCGTATCTCTTATAGTGCTGTTTTGTTCAATGGATCCGTTAATAAAGTGCGTTTTATGCAATTTATCTCTTATTTTAGTTGAGCGCAAGATTCCAGCTGAAGGTCGAGGGTCGAACATTCCAAAATGCTTGAACAGAAAAATATTTTTTTTTCTTGCGCATTTCAAAACCAGTTTACTCGATATGCACGGTCAACATAGCAAATAAGGGATTCAATGTTCAACTCGACGAAACGTGTCGACGAAAATTGGACCCCGAGACGCTGGGACTGCGTCACAGCTCATCTGTGCGAGAGGACAAAACGTGTGATCTGCACGTTCGGAAGCCCATATTGCTGGGAGAAGTTTATCTAAAATGCATTGCACTTAGAATAAATATACCCATGACCATTCAGCATCTCAGACTTTTGCCATAAAAGCAACATATATATGATGATAAGTGAATAAAAACAATATATTGTTGGAATATATATAAAAAAATGTCACATACACATCTCAATATGGCAGGCTTTCAACGCAGCAATAGAAGGTGCGGAAGCGCCATAATTTGAAGTTTATTGTGGCGATTATTCGAAGGCGGAAATATTGCGACCGCGCGCTACCAAAAAAGTCTATATTTGGCCTGCAAGTACATAAAGTTTGCCGACCACTGGTCTACAGTTTTAATTTTAGAGTACCAGCACATGTCTGCTTGGAATTAGCATAAGCTGAATGTCCTCTACGGTCATTGAATGTTTGTATGTTGATCTCTTTAAAAAACCATTATCCACAGACCGCAATACCTTTCCATGGATTTTTTTTATTTTTTATTTTTCACTTTGGGAATGTTCTGTTTCATACTGCAGCCGGACTTGAACATCAGCAGCCAAGTTCTGGAAAGACCGGACCCCGGTCCATGTACCGGTGCGCGCCCGCAGGGTGTGATTGAATACGGTTGCATTGATATGTTGCAACTCGTAGTATGAAATATCTATTTTATCTTTTATTTTGAACAAAGAAAGAAAATTTAAGCGCCACAAATTCGGACTTCCGGGGACATGAGCAACTTCAAGTTACAACAGCAATGAATGGTGAAATGAAATGTCAATATAATAACACCAAATGATAGGGATTGTTTATAACCATAAAGCTTTTTTCACGAAGCAAAATTGAAGACATCAGCAAGGTTTATAAAATAGCATCATAATACGCAATATACCGCGACAACCGACAAACTAACGCCCCAAATACGGGTGATCTGGCTAAGTCAACCTGTTTTGTGAATAGCCCGGTACATCCGCTGGGGGTCTCATTCGCATGTAAAAGACACTGATGCAGTCCGGTGTCCTGCTCGGATGCGTTGTTGGAAAAGTCTAGCCTACGATTAGCCGGATGACACGCGTAGTTGAAACACACTTCGGACATAGTCCCTACAACCCTTTTTTACAAATGAAAACGCAAAAGCTGACTATGATCAATATTTATAATTGTTAATTGTTCCAGCAATTTTGTTTTGCTGTCCTAAATGTATAGACGATGCCATTAGTTATAACAAACCTATTTCCTAACTTACATTTTTGG